TGGTTCCCTCAAAATGTGACTAGTTCTGGGCTCAGCACATGGATGGGAACCGACATCCCATCTATCTACTGTTCTTAATTGCAAAGAGAGATTTACTAAGCGACTGAAAACCTGCATAGAATTCTGAACGTTCACATGTACCATAGTTTGTATACAAATGAATGATTTAATTAATTAATTAAGCAGGCTAAACTAACTTTCTAGGCCAAGTAGAAGGACTGCAAACACTGATTACATTTTTGGTCAATATTGTTTCCTAAGAAAAAGAAATTATAGCTTTGATCATTTGTACAAAAGAAAGGGCCAACGCTGCCTCTATTACCAAGAAGACATTCATCTTGTGGGTAATCCAGAGTTCTAGCCGGGAGAGCAAAATATTGATTTGGGGAGTGGGGTTCCATGTTTTCTCTGTGTTTGTTGAACCTAGTCCTAACAATACCTTCAATGGCCAGGCACTCTTATCTTTAAGGTTATGGGTTAGAAAATGTCCCACTTCAGGCACGTTAGGTAGTTTCAAAGTTGTATGAGGCTTGATTGCCCATGTTCCCAACATTCCCACAAAAATAATTTTTCCTACACATCAGAAAATCTAGTTTCTTTGAATACTCTATTCAAACCTTATCTAATAAGCTAATTTTGCCCCACCACACACACACACACAGAACAAGTAACATAGCCCAGATATTTATACAGACTCTGGACAGTGAATAAAGTATTTGGAATCATACTTCTCTACACAGCAATGTTTTTTTTAATTCAAAATATTTCAAAAACTGACATCTCTGCTTGAATATATAGAAAACTTTCCCCTTCTTTTCCCCATTTATATTAGGACTCTCCTTTACTCTGTTACAGGGTCTGCACATTGTCACCGGGGCTGCCTGGCTAAAGAAAATAAATGAAAACAAGACGTCATAGCTTAGCATGATGTGTGAACCCAACCTTTTTCTAAAACACTCCTTTCCTTTGCATTTAAAAACATTTTCTGCCATACACACGTAAGAGATCATATACAGTATTTTATATCTCAGAGATGTATAATATACAGCACATGTATTTTAGAAAAGGTGGCACAAGAGAGAGAAGGTATCTGAACTCAGCAAAGCTTTCTGCACCACTCTTTCTTCCCATCTGTGATATTCTATTTAAATATATATGTTTAGTTCAAGTGGTAAGTTTTATTTAATTCTCCAGCAAAGGCACTGCCTTTTCTACCTGAGACATTTTTGAGCTTGGTATCTCTTATCTGTAAAATTAATATTTTTAAACTCCTGCATCTTCATGCACAGTTCCCAACTACACTTTATTTGCACGAAAGAAACTTACCAGGGGTAAAGTTGTTCGTTTTGTGAGCCTGTTATTGGGATTGAATGGCAGCATTGCTTGAATTGGGGGTCAAATGTAAATGGTTCAGAGGGCACTGAAATAAAGCCGTCTCGATTCTGTTGAACTTGATTTGTGGCCAACCAGGTTGGCAGTGGATTAATATCACCCAATCTTCCATATCCTGCAAATTGCGATATTATTTGGCTATGTCATAATAGGTATTTCCTTTAATAGGCTTTAGAATTTGTGGTTAGAATTGTCAATCAGTCATAATTCAAGAGTGAATTTACTTTTATAGGCAAAAATATATGCTCAAGGAGATGGGTATAAAATCCACAATGACAAATTTTGCTCGAGGACTTGATCTTAGTCCCTATTCTTCTGGATTACAAAAGATCTTGCAAATCGGAATCATTTTCTTCAGCATTGACAAAATTAAGAATGTTTATTTATTCAACTGAGATGCTGCCTATCTTGTCTGGAGGTGATGTCATTCATTTATCCTAAATTATTGCTCAGCAGCTATTTCACTGATTTAGTTAGCTCCCATTCTACCCAACATTCTTGGGATTCATATTACATGGGGATTTATCAAACATTATCATGGGTTGTTACTGTCTCTTCATAATACTTGCTCACACTCTTAAACTTTAACAAGCTGGATACAGTCTCTATTTAAAGTGCAGTCATTCCCCAGCATTCTCCAATCTAGTATCCTGCATAACAGATAAACCACAAATTGCATCATTCGTTGCTAGTACAATAGACAAAAGGTTGTTCTAGATTCTAGAAGATGAAGTAACTTAGATAAACTCAATTTTTTCCAAGTTCCCCTATTTGTTAATAAGGAACAAATAACTTTAGGTTTCCATTTTTTTTTCTCTAAAAGAAAAGGACATGGCTTGCCTCCCTTGAAGGAAAGAGGAACAAACTGTATTGCATTATTGGTGTTTTTTTTTTAGTAATCAACCAACACCAGAGATCTGACTCCATATTATAGCTGGTTATACTATTCAAATATTTTGTCTGTTCATTGCAATGGATTATTTTAAAAATGGGCCAATACAGTAGAGGTGCTCCAGATTTAAGAAGCTATTTGCCTCCTTTCACATAGGTATCACCTTAGATGGCTCCTTTCCCTTTTTGTGACTTTTGTGACTTTTATCATGCTCGGTGAATATTGACTGTGGAGTTCACAGTTTTCCCGTGTTTCTTAGTGCAAAACAGCAGCACCAAGCCTTCAAATACCCAGTTTAAAAACAACAACCCTTCTCCATTCCAATTCCACCCACATGTGCGATGTCAGCCAGTTTGAGCTCCCTGTCCTCCCCAAAATGTTAAGGCTTGCTCACAAAACAAACATTTTCATTTTCATGGCAAGAACAGCAGCTCTCTTGTGCTCATCATGTGAACACCCCTGAGTTTCTCAGAGAATGAAGTCATTGTCGAGACCGCCTCCTAAGTGACAGTACAGTTTTGCAGTGCGAGGGAAAGGATAGTCTGCAGGTTTGTCCGAGAAGTAACAATTTCCCAATAACTGGAGGAAGTGCAACATAGAGATGATACATGCCCTTGGTAGAAAAAGTTTATTTAGATCACTGACCAGGCATGCAGAATTGAAACAAAACAAGCTGTAATTTCAGGTACTTTGCTTGAAAGTAAACCATCCACCTTATAAGGGAAGATGCAGCTAAGAGAGTAGATTGTATTATGGCACAAATATTATCTTTCTCAAATGCCAAAAAATTCTTTGCTGTTTAGGTATAAGATTGCAATGTAGGACCCTATAAGGCCACCCAAATCTTTTCTGCAGCTGTAAGGATTTGGCTATTGGCTTTGTTTCAATAGATGAGGAGTTCACAGGAAGCTAAAAAGCAAAGATGACACTAAAGATTTGAAAACAGCTGATCAGCAAGCCTCAAGAGGAGTGTGCATGTGTGTGTGTGTGTGTAGGTTTGGAAATGTATCCAGCAAGCCACACAAAGATTATATCAACATTTCAGATGTGACCCAGTCAGGTTTAAAAAAAAAAAACCCAAACTACCATGCTGCAAGATGCTGTCTTCTGCAGGGGAAAAAAAAGGAAAAGAAGGGTTGGGGAGAAAGAGCCAAGTCTTTTTTTAAAATAATATTTTAAGAAAGCAGCAACAATAGGAGGTGGAGAAGAAAGCCCAAAGCAATGACGTAATGGCTGTCAGCCGTCCCTATCCCAGCTGAGCAACCTAGGCTGTTGCTTATTCGCTTCACTCTTAAAGAAATACTCATCTACGCTTTCCAAAGAAGTCGCCGCATTAACTGTGCTGCATCCAGAACCAAGGAGGATTCTTAATTTTTTTTAAAAAAATGGGTGTGTGTGTGTGTGTGCACTTTAAGGGCAACATTGGTTACACCGCAATTCCGCCGGTTCAGATACTGTATGCCACCCCGGGGGAGGGCTTTGCCTTGGAGCGCGGTTTTGCTGGCGGCTCGACCGGGGAGGGGAAGGGGGGCTCCCCGAAGCTTGTTTGTTCGTTGAGAGACAGTAGTAGGCGGTGGGAGGGCGAGTAAACCATCGAAAGGCTTTTTTTTTTTTTTTTGCAGATGCACCAGAATGTGGTAAACATGAGGCAAACGGTGGAGAAAAAGCAGCACGCAGGAGAAGGGGAGGCGTGCCCGGCTTGCCGCCTCTCTTTTTTACGGCAACCCCGTTGCAAATAGTTTTTTTTAAAAAAAAAAGAAAAAAAGAGAGCGAGCCGGCGCCGGCCAAGCTGAGCTTGACCACTTAGTACTTACCTCGGCGAAGTAGAGGTTGAGGAGGCAATTGGTGGCGAAGAGCAGGCAGACCGGGAAGCAGAAGAGCAACCAGTGTGGGAAAGGCTGGAGCCGGAGCTCCACGGCTCGGGTGGACGTCTGCAGGTAGAAAGAGAAGAGGACGGTGCGCAGCGCTGCCCAGAGCAGGCAAAGGAAGAGGCACACGGTGCGGTAACTCAGCCGCTTCTCCCGGTAGTAGAACAGCAGCCAAAGCTGCAGGTAAGTGAAGAGGAAGAGGCCGGCGTAGAGCAGCGTGTACAGGACGCTCAGCCCCAACTCCAGAGCGGGGAAGAGGGGAGCAAGAGGATCGGACCCGGCGAGTCCCATCGCTCCCGGCCCCACCATAACAAGGGGGGGAGGGAGGAGCGAGTGTGCAAAAAAAGAGAGAGAGGGAGAGAGATTAAAGTGCAATTTCAGGGGCGCGGGGGGAGAATGCCGTCCCGCTTCGTTCTGGCAGGACAAATCAGAGCGCCATGCAAGTCGCCCGGAGAAGAGGGGGAAGAGCCCCGCCGCCCTCCCTTTGTCCTCCTCCGCTCGCTCGCTCGCTCGCCCGCCCGCCTCTCTGCAGCGCCGGCTCCCTTTTGCCGAACCAACTCTTGCTCCCGAGAAACAATCAGCTGAGAGCCCAGAGGATTTGAGGCGTTCGCTCCGGGCCACGCGCCGTTTCCCATTGGTCAGCGCCCGGCTCCGCCCGCCGGGCGTCCAACCGCCGAGCCCGTTGGCTGCGCCTCCGAGTCATTCAGCAGAGAAGGCTCCGCCTCTTTCTCGCTCCTCCCCCTCGCCTTCCCTTTTTTTTTTTTGCTCCGCCGGATTTTCTAATCAGGCTTGCTTTTTTTTTTTTTGAGGTGGGTTGTTGCGCCCGCCCGTGCGGCGCTCTGCCTCCCCCCCCAAAAAGAAAACAATCCCGGTTCGCTTCTTTTAATGCCCGCTCCTTTCGCTTTCGCTTTGCTTTGCATTTGGCTGCTGGGTCGGTGTTGCGAGAGGCCTACTACTACGCCTGAGTAAACGCTCGGCTGGAGACGATTTTGTAAGACTTAGCGGTTTTCCTAACTGCGTTCCCCGCTTCTCCTTGGAGGGGGTGGGCTGCGGCGTTGTTGCTTGGAGCGCTTTGCAGATGCGATCGCTGTTTTCCCTTCGATTCCTTCGTCTCTGTCCAGCGCAGCGAGATTCCTGCGAACTGACCGCCTCCTTTCTTGAATGCAGTTGCAGCAGTTCTACCCCCCCCCCGTGCCCCAATCTCCGAAATGCATTCGTCAGAACGATGCTCTCTCCCCCTGCTTTGTTAGACGGCTGTGATTTCCTTTAATTGCATCTTGGCCATTAAAACTAGTGCGGCTCAAATTTGGAAAGAGGGGAAGAAGTTGAGTACCTAACATGTATTTTCCACCAAACCCTCTTTTGCTGTTTGCTTGCTTTGCTTGATAATGTTCCATCAAGTGGTTTTCCACTCATAAAACATCAGTATTTAAGAAATGGCTTGACAGTCTTGTTTTAAAGTGACTGAGTCGCTGGAGCGCCCCTGTATCACTTCAGAAAGTCACAACCCTCTAGTCTAGAAGAAAATTGACGGGAATCTGAAGTCCAGGTTGACGAGACACACCACTAATCTGGATCCTGCGGCGGTGGAAATAAGAGTTCTCAAAAACCACAATTGAATCTGGGGAGTTTGGCGGTGGGGAAATTCCCCAGGAACAAACATTGAGTGGTGGCAGACAGCTTTGATTGCATTCCAGATGCACAGAGTGAAATGTCAGGTGAGTTACTTCTTTTGATGGTTGTTTTGTTGTCATAACTCTGATCAGTAATATCTACTGATATACCCATGCTATGTGGTTGGGCTTAGTTTTTGGGGAGGAAAATAATGGGGGCGGAATTCTGCCTCTGCCTACCAACATCCATTGGTATTCATTTGGCTAGCGTCCTGTCAGTGTTTGAGAGAGCTGTTTGGAAACTGAAAGAGTATTTGCTGTGTGAGCAAGAAGACAGCAAGGAGCCTGGGCATGGCTTAGCTCAACCGTTCTGTACTAAAGCTGTTTGGTATTGTGAACCTAAAATTGAAACTCCTCTCCTCTGCTTGTGTTTTGCATTTGGAACAGATTTCTTTTCAGGTGGGGAGGGGGAATGGAACTCCTGAGCATCAGAGCATGTTAATAATAATAATATATGAAATATTAATGCTCCGATGGTCATTTTGAAAAATCCTTTCTTAGTGAGCATCTAGAAGTCAAGAGGAACATATGTGCCAAATTTCAAGTTTGTAGGCTTTACAGTTCTGGAGATTTTGTGATGATGCATGAGTGGTATTTCACTTTTATGTATATCAATAACTTTATATTAAAGTTTAATATATAACAATCATAAGAAATTAGAACTTTTGATCATTAATTAGTCCTTGATTTATGACCGTTGGTTTAGCATCTGTCCAAAATTATGACAGTGCTGAAAAAAGTGACTTATGACTGGTCCTTGTGCTTACATAATTGCAGGATCTCTGCAGTCGTGTGAAGGTGATCTTGGCGCTTGAGAATGGTATCTATTTATGATAGTTGCAAAATCCTGAGGTCAGGCGATCGCCATTTGCGACTTTCCCACTGGCTTCCAACGAGCAAAGTCAATGGGGAAGCTGACTGGGAAGGTTCCAAATTGGGATCCTGTGCATATCTTGCAAAATGACTGTGGCAAAAAAGCTTGTAAAATCAGGTGCAATGATAGGATGCCTCACTTATCACACTTGCCTGCTTAACAATGAATTTTCTTACCCCCAAATGTGGCTGTAAGTCAAGGATTACTTGTAACATCGATCAAAGATAAAGATAAAAATGGCCAATGTGACAGCCTAAACCGAGTGTAGCAAGGTGTCTCACCATGTCTTGGCCAAAGTTTTGGGTCGAGAACCAAGTCTTCATGGCTTCTCTAAACAACAGCGAGCCATTCAGATCTTGGGGGAAACTTTATTCCAGAGGGAAGAGACTGCTATGGAGACTATTATTATGGCCAAATTCATAAGCATATGTACTACCATAGGAGATAAGTGATGTGATATTCGGGGGTGTGAATATAAATTAGATTTTTTTCCTAATTGTCAGGGTAACAAAAAAGCCTCGTAGATGTTCACAGACTCAAAGGTTGTAAGTTTTGAGATTGAATGTCTTAAGTATCTTTAGGGACTCCCTCAAGAGCACGTCAAGGGCTCTTCACAAAATGATTGCCTCTCCATCACACCCACCTACACAGACCCTCAACTCCTAGGATGCCTGCTAATGCCCTCCAATTTTTCCCCCCCCCCCCCCCCCCCCGCCCAGACAGTTGATTAAACTTCAAAGTATAACTCAGGACTACAAAAATCCGCCATGCTTTGTGTGTTTTCCCACTTATATAGAATAAGAAAGGAAAGGAAACCTATCTGTTAGTTTCTTTTATATAATGGCTGGCTTTTCACAGAAAATTAAGGTAGGTACATCCACATAGCTACTAATTTGATGCCCAAAGCATCCAAAATGAATATCTACCGACTCTGCAATGGTGAATATTCCTCCTGAGTCAATGAGTTGTCCTTCAAGTAGCCCAAAGAGAATAACAGAGTTGGAAGGGATCTTGAAGGTCTTCTAGTCCAACCCCCTTTTCAAGCAGGAAACCCTATCACATTTCGGACAAATGCAACTTTCAAATGCCCTACTCCCATTTTAGCCACATTTATTTGTGAGGTAAGAGAGCAAGTGTAGGTGTGCATGCAAACATCCTGAAGTCTGTGCAATACTGTGTTACTGGCAGCATCACAAATAATCGGTTTTGATCTGTTCCCTATCTTGTTTGGAAAGAAGTGGGTGGATGATATAGTGCCAGTCAGTTGCATGGCCCCAGAGGCCTTGTAAAAGGATATTTATAACATGAGAAGTTTGATTAGAAAGGAAGCATGGTGTAATGGTTAGAGTAGGGATTCCCCAACCCTTTTGTTTGTCAACCCCTCATGAAATTTCAGATTGTCCATTTACCCTCAAAGATTTATTACTGGAAATAATTTAATACAGGGAGCCCTCAATTAAATGAGGTAATTGCAGCAATGCTCAAAGAGACTCTACTTACAAAGGAGCATGGATACAAAGTATAATTAAAGAAGAAAAAAGGGCACTGAAAGAATATTTGAAGGACAGCGAAGAAGATGTCCTGAAGCTAGTACAGCTGAAGGCTGAGTAAACCCTACAAGACTAAATAAAGAACAGAAAAGAGATATGGTAAGAGAAGGTATTACATGGCCAGACACACACACACAGGTGAAGCACATAAGAACTATATCTGGCAATGGCAGGAAAGTTGAAAAAACAGACGGGGCTAATTTGAGCTGCACAAGAACAAATCTTAAGAACAAATGCAAAGCCAGAATTGAGAAGACCAACAGAAAACAAATTCTACCACTGTAAAGAAGTTGCAGAAGCAGCGGAGCATCTACTTAGCTACTGCATAAAGATTGTAAAGGCTGACTACATACAACAGCATGACAAAGTAAAAATGGCGCACTGGAAGATCTGCAAGAAATACCACTTGCCTGCAAGCAAGAACTGGTGAGACCATAAAATAGACAAAGTAATAGAAAATGAAGAAGCTAAAGTGCTCTGGGACTTTATAATTCAAACTGACAAGCACCTGTCACATAACATCCAGACATAACAATTATTGATAAGAAAGACAAAAAACATCTGGATAGCGAATGTTGCAATGCCTGGAGATAGTAGGATGAAGGAAAACTGGAGAAAATCACAAAATACAAAGATCTGCAAATAGAAGTTGAACAACTGTAGCAAAAGAATGCAACAATAGTACCAACACTAATAGGTGCCTTGGGTACAATTCCAAAACATCTGGAGCACCACTTGAACAGCATCAGCATTGAGCCGTGGTGGTGTAGTGGTTAGGATGCAGTACTGCAGGCCTAACTCACGGCTTACTCCAGGCGTTCAATCTTGAGGGGCTCAAGGTTGACTCAGCCTTCCATCCTTCTGAGGTCAGTAAAATGAGGGCCCAGATTGTTGGGGGCAATATGCTGACTGTAAGCTGCTTAGAGCGGGCTGTAAGGCACTGTGAAGCGGTATATAAGTCTAATTGTTATTGCTACTAACAAAATTAGGTAAAGATTCCCCTCACATATATGTGCTAGTTGTTTCCAGCTCTAGAGGGCAGTGCTCATCTCAGTTACAAGCTGAAGAGCCAGCACTTCTGAAGACATCTCCATGGTCATATGGCGGGCATGACTAAATGCCGAAGGTGCACAGAACACTGTTACCTTCCCACCAAAGTGGTCCCTATTTTTCTACTTGCATTTTTACATGCTTTCGAACTGCTAGGTTGGCAGAAGCTGGGACAAGTAACAGGTGTTCACTCTGTTATGCGGCGCTAGGGATTTGAACCGCCAAACTGTCGATCTTCCTAATCAACAAGCTCAGTGTCTTAGCCACTGAGTCACCATGGTAATGATGGTAACAAAATTACCATCAGTCAATTGCAAAAGGCAGTGTTACTTGGAAAACTTATTTCTTGTGAAGAATAAATAACCTTTAACAGCATCAAACAACAGCATTTGTCTGTCCCAAATCCTGAGATGGACTTGCTAGGTGGATAAAAATGCCAAATCCAATCTAAATATCTGGCTGACTATGCAAACATCCACATTTTTTTACAACCCCGTAATCTCTCAATTTGCTATTGAGTTGGGGAGACTGAATGGAATTAATTGTTTACTGGCCATGAGCATTTACTGGGTGGATGCCCTTCCTGACACCTACATGGAGTTTGCAGCAGATATTGTGTCTTTGTTCCCTGATAGAGAAACACATGTTGCTTGCCTAGGATTAACTCTTAGCCTTCAGAGTGGGAGGCGAGCATTTTCACCTCTAAGCCACTGCTCCACTCAGTGCAACCAACCACAATAACAACAACAGTGGATAGTTCTATCCACTCTTGGGGGTCGAAATTGACCACCTTGGGGTACCCTGGATTAGAATGTTGAATTTACCATTTTACTGTACTGTACATAGTAAGTTTATATTTTATTTATTTTTCCTTTTTACCCAATATATCTTTAAGGTTGAATTCTCCTGAGACAACTTGAGCATCTGTAGACATGTCATCACCACAAATGACTCAACGGACTCACTTCTTTTTCCTCCTCATATGGATTTCTTGCATCTCAGTGACAAGTGGTGTCAAAAACGTGATTCCAGAGTTAAGTCCCCAGGAATATTTTAGCAGCTTGCAAGCATCGAAAGCATCTTTGGTTTATTTTCAGAAGGATGGTGAGTATTTTCACCAGATTCCTTGAGAAAAATTGGTTAGGAAAGAAAGAAAACTTATATGACTATGTTTAGGAGCCAAGTTGTAGCATGCATGAAATGTATATTCTGATAATTCATTCCTAATGACAATGAGCTTTTCATTCTACACAGTGATCATCCCCTCCGCTCGTTCATGGAGTCATCTTTAGTCAGCCATGACTCACAGCGGAAATCCCGATTCAAATAATATTTCAAAAAGTCAGGTGGGTTGGATGATGAGGGAGATACCCAGGGTGATCGGATTCCCTCAGGCCTTAGTTCCTTCCACCTGTCTAATTTGATGAAGAGTTCTGCAGAAAGCGAAAGGTTATATATGACTTTGTGACATTTTGGTTGGATTTCTTACATAGCTGTGGCTGAGGATTTTTTTTTCATGCCCCAAAAAGGGATTTGTTTAATTTATTTTTATGACTGGGTTTTGTTTTATTTATTTTTATGACCCTTTCTATAGTGGTTCTACTGGAATAGATTGTGTCTTGTCCTTAGGAAGGTGACTTTGTCTGGCTGTTCAAACCCTGATTTGATTTAATGTCTGAAGAACAATGGTCACAACAAAGCCATCAATATTCATGGTCACCTTCTGGAGCTTTTGATATTGACATTGGCACTGATACATTTATTTTTATTTTACATATAGGTAAACTTTGAACTGCTTAATTTTCCTGTTATGGCTTGCTTAATTTCCCCCTTGAGCACATCAGCTTTTAATCCTCAGTATGCCATTCAGTAGTAGGTATAGACCTCAGCTCATCCTCAAGAGATTTTCCTCGCCTTGTATAATAGAGTCATATAATAAAATAACAGCATTAGAAGGGACCTTGGAGGTCTTCTAGTCCAACCCCCTGCTTAGGCAGGAACCCTATACCATTTCAGACAAATGGTTGTCCAATCTCTTCTTAAAAACTTCCAGTGTTGGAGCATCACAACTTCTGGAGGCAAGTTGTTCCACTGATTAATTGTTCTAACTGTCAGGAAATTTCTCCTTAGTTCTAGGTTGCTTCTCTCCTTGATTAGTTTCCACCCATTGCTTCTTGCCCTGCCCTCAGGTGCTTTGGAGAATAGCTTGGCTCCATCTTTTGGGGGGCAGCCCCTGAGATATTGGAACCCTGCTATCATGTCTCCCCTAGTCCTTCTGTGTGAGAGGAAGTTCTGCAAGATTTCATTGGAAGGAATCCCACAATTTATGTGCCATTCCAGGGAAGGCTCTGTCTTCCTTCAGGCTACACCAGGGGTGTGAAATTGGATTTCTTTGAGAACTGATCAGCATTATAGGAGGAGTGGAATAGCTTGGACGGCCTGCAGCATTTTGCTGGCCAAAACGGCACGGGGGGGGGCGGGGAGCTGTTTTGGCCAGCAAAATGGTTCAGGAGACCGTCCAGGCCAAAAATGGGCACAGACACCCGTGCCCCGTTTTGGCTGCCAGAGGCACCGTGGGCCGGTCCTTTGCTATTTCCAGGCCAGCCCTGCTGGCCAGATTTAAGGCCTTGAGCTTGACACCTCTGGGCTAGACCAGTCTGAAAACTAATGCCAGATAAATCAGTACAGGTAATCCTCAACATACAAAGGCTCATTTAGTGATATTCAGAGTTATAACATCACCTCGAAAAGTGACTTATTACAGTAAGCATGAGCATCCCCATGTCACATGACCAAAATTTGGAAGTTTGGCAATAATTCATATTTGTGATGGTTACTATGTCCTGAGGTTACATATTCTCCTTTTTACATATTCTCCATTTGTTATACAAATGTTTTACTTAGCAGCAGAAATATTGGGCCCAATTGTGGTTGTATGTAGAGGACTACCTGTACTACTATTAACATAAAAGTCTAGCAGTGACATCATATAAATCTGAATGCATTTCTTCCTTCCTCCCCTTTATCTTCATGTGAATTATGGAGAGGTTTATTTGAAACATTTGCTTAAATTATTTTCCTGGCCTAAACTCAAACCCCTCTTTTCTGATCATTGCCTTGGTAGTAGCTCTTCCTTTTGTCCTTCAAGGCCGTTTCCTGTGCCCTTCAGCATCTCCTATTTCTGTCATGGGGACAGAACAGAGGTAAAAGGGAAGCAGGTTAATAAAATAACTTTAAATCAACATGAAGATTTCAAGTCAAGCCAGCATTGTACAGAGAGGGATGGGTTTATTCCTGCTGTTAAATTCAAATGCTTGATACCCGCTCCCCCGATTTCTGGGAAAAAATGAAGATGAAAATGAAACAATGTTTTAGAAATATTAAAAATATCACTTTGATTGTCATTATGATACCAGTGAAGGTCTTGTTTTTTTATTCCAGTTTCACCATCTAGTGAGGTATTCTTGGAACAGCTGGAGAACTCCAGAGAAGCTCTCCAAGATTATGGGATTTCTATCTTAAAGGTAGAATTGTTTTCTGCTTTATAATTCTTAGAGAAGCATGATCTTTTTGGAATTTCAAGACAAATTCTACCACAATGTAAATGACAAATTGCCCATCGGCTTTTGACTGCAGAGTGAAATAATTCCCCATTGTTTTCAACAAAACATAATCCTACTATGTCAAATTATTCTCCGTCTATCTAGTGTAATCTATTTGACTGTTAAGTTCTGCGATAACTGTTTTTCCCATTTTCTTTTTGTGCTGCCCAACTGAACAGAAAATTGGAAAAGAAATTAAGTAAAGCAATTGAGACTGTATGCCTCTGCCTGTCAGCATGGTAAATCTCTGAATACTGAACAGAATGGAACCACATTTGGTGTGCAGGGAGAAAGAATGTGGTAAAAAGAATGGTCTGGGTCAGTCTGGGGGCTATAAAGAAGGACATTCTTTCAGCTGTGGGGAAGGCTCTATTGACAGCTGCTCTGTTCTACTCATGTGATCCAGAGCAAAATCATATGTAGCCTGTCCTGTGCCTCCCAGTATATACATATGCATGAATTTAGGGCCACTCTGGAAGGGATTGGAAAGAATTCAAGCAGTCCTCTATATGCTTTCCTTAGCTTGTAAATTAGAATTTCTAGGACTCAGTTCTATCATTGTTCTATTAGAAGCCACTGTCTTCTAGCACTATATGAACAAAAGGCACGTAGAAGAAGAACGTCAGAGATCTGGGAATAACAAAGGAAGAGTGGGTTTTTTTCTGATTTAATATGGGTCCAATATGACAATTCATTAACACCATGGTTTTATATAACATGGCTTTATTTATAATAATAGGTGCTACTATTTCACATCAGATATTAATAGAAGCTTCTCTCCCAGAGCAAAAAAACAGCTTTGGAAGTTAGGATTTTTAACAGGTTTGTGATGCAGGGACATAATAACCCAACTCCGCATGCCTCAGTCTCAATCCTGAGGTTTCCCCAAAAGCCGTTTTGTAAAAATAAGCAAATTCAGACACCTAAAATGTATATTTGATGCAACATTCAGTTTGTCTAATTTATTGATGTGGAAGATGAGAGGAAGGTTTTTCATATAAGTGTTTCCAAATCAATTAAAGTAAGCCTCAGCAGGTGATTTGAGCTAATCTAGAAAACTAAGCAGATTTGGACTTGATTAATTCTAGATGATAGTAACCAATTCACTGTTATATAATTCAGCAGACTGAAGATTTCATACTTTTGCAACATGACAGTTAATAATAATATTACTTAGATGTATACCTCGCTTCATAGTGCTTTGCAGACCTCTATAAGTGGTTTACAGAGTCATCATATTGCCCCTATCGATCTGGTACCTCATTTTACTGATGGAAGGTTGAGTCAACATTTGAGCCGGTCAGGATCGAACTCCTGGCAGTGAGCAGCGAGTTAGCTTGCAATACTGCATTCTAACCACTGTGCCACCATGACTCTTTCAATAATACCCCAGTAAAGATTTTAGGTTTTTTTTTTCATAGATTAACTGCCAAGGAGGAGAAGCATCCAGCTACTGCAGAGGAGATAACTCCTTGGGAAAAATATACCTATTCAGGTAAACAGTTCATCTCATTACAGTGACTCAGCTTGCACAAATGGTTTTTCGGTTACAATAGGCCTTGGTACAGAATTTCTACAATGCATTATAAAGTGGGATGTCACATGATTCCATCAATTAGTGACGACAATCCTAGCAATCCTCATTGCTGTGCTAATCCCAGGACAGTGTTAATTAAGGATCTTGTGTGACCACAATGTTGGTAAAGGTGGGAATCCCAGGCAAGCAGGACAGCAGGTGAGAATTATGGGTGGGCAGGTGCTGTAGAGCAGGGCTGTCCAAACTTGGCAACTTTAAGCCTTGGCAGACTTCAGCTCCCAGAATTCCCCAGCCAGTAAAGCTGGTTGGGGAACTCTAGGAGTTGACATCTGCCAGGCTTAAAGTTGCCACGGTTGGAGACCCCTGCAGTAGAGCATTGGCAAGTGCTGCAGTGGTGTTACAGTGCTCAGTTAGATGAAAAGGCAGTGTGAGAGATTGACAACCTCATGGCGGCTTCCTCACTGATTTTGCTTTTGGTTAGCCAGCAGGGAAGTTCTCAAATACTAATCACGTAACTGTAGGACACTGCAACGGCTTTAAGTGTGAGCCAGTTGCCAAGGGTCTGAATCACAATCATGTGCCTGTGGGGACGTTGCAATGGCCACAGCTTTATTGTAAGTCCCCCTCATTCACCAACATTGCTAGTTTGAATGGTTGCTGAATGAGTGGTCATAACCTGAGGACTGTCTCTGTAGCTGGGCATTGAGATCAGATTGTCTGTGCTCTCCCTCAGTCTGCGTCCTTTCCGGCTTCCTTTTTTTTCTTGGCCACCCCGGTGGAAGGGGATAGGAGTTTCAACACGACAACATTTGGAGGGTAGCTGAGTATATTTATTTAGGAAAATTTATGTGGGCACCCAAAGTTAACATATTAATCACAGAAAAGCAAAAGAGGGAAGGCTGAATTTAGTCTGCTCTGAAACAAAATGAATAAATTCTTTATCCATGCTTTGAACTGAAAATACTTTTTTTTTTTTTGCTGAAATACCCTATTTCATTAAATAAACCGTTAGGTTGTGATCGCAGTGTATAAAAACATGCCATTTTTTTCCCTCCCAACATTATAATTCCAGTAGTGAATTTCAAAGCTATTCAGTTCTAATAAGACAAGTATTGATTTTGTAACTAGACCAAACATCGATGCCATCAGATGTGGTGAGCATCACCAGTTTAAGTAATTTTATCAAGGGGTATATTAACTAAATAGTATAGCCTGGAGACTATAGCAGCCTGTCCTGTGATTACATAATGATCTTGTCTTCTCTTAGGTTCCTTGTTTTTCCCCTTCAGTTTCTTCAGTTCTGTGGAATAGAAAGATTTATATTCTTTGCAGTCATCTGATCGTTAGTACTTTGAGAGTTGTTGAGACCACCTGGGGATTTATCTATACCCTCAGATCACCCAAATCAGTGTGCAAATGAGTGTGGAACCTTTTTGGAACTGCTGAAAGGACTGTGTTGTAAACAGGAGCTAGGTGGTATCATATCCTTCCCCCTCTGTTAAGAGAGGGCTGTTCAGTCTTAACATAGATCAGGGGTGTCAAACTCAAGGCCCATGGCCTGGATCCAGCCCACAATGTGGTCAGATCTGGTCTGCGGGGCTGTCCCGGTCTATCCACGTTGCTTAGGCCTGGTTTACCCAATGGAAAGAGGAAACATTGGGCCAACATGTCTTAGGCCTGGTCTCCCAATTATGAAGAGGAGACATCGGGCCAGTGTGGCTTCAGCCCTGTCTACCTGCATCACTTTGGCCTGGTCTACCCATTGCAAAGAGGAACTATCAGGCCAGGTCTACCCGATGCAAAGAGGAAACATGCCAGCAGTTTGGGGAGTAGTGTCAAGCTGGCCATGCCCACTCAGTGTCAGGATTCTGGCAGTTACCCCTGAGTTGACACCCAGCTGGCCACGCCCAGTAAGCAGCATCAAGCTGGCCATACCCACCCAGTCGGCCCTGCCCCCCCAAGGTCAACCACAGCCCTGATGTGGCCCTCAATGAAATTGAGTTTGACACCTCTGACATAGATGGTCTCTTTGACCTCTCTTTCAAGGTGCTCTCTGTCCAGGATGTGAACTTTTGGAAAAGCACCTTTGGGACAACCATGACCTGGATGATTGAGAATCTCCATAGGCATTCAGCCCTCAGACATATGAATCTACAGCAGGTCAGATCAATTCACCATTTGAGAAAAAGGCTGATTCTGAGGATTCTTGAAAGATCAAGGGGTCAGATCTTAGTCTGGAAAACTTTTGATGCAACTGCTCCAGACAACAGAAACCCATGTTAAGTAGAGAGGGCATTGAGTAGCTTTGCTTCCATTCTGCATATTATTGGGCTTATTGAAGGCTCACTGGCACCCCCAGTGGAAACTAAAGAAGTCCCAACACCCCAAAGATGTAGCATGTGATAGAAGACAGTGCCTGCTGGCTTTAAAAATTTATCTTGTTTTCCAGGGACCGTGTGTTAATTCGTGAACTTGCCATAGATGCCTTGTTCAGCTTGGATGCCATTGTGGCAAATGTACTTTTGTAAGTTCTCTATCCTTTATTTACTCAATATACATCCTGCCTGCAAATAGCAGGAGTTGAGACTGCCGGAAGAGCAAGAATATGTCCTTTGACACTTGAAATAGTAAAAGGAGAAAGAGAAGAGGAGGAGGAGGAAGTGAAAACACCCTGCCTTTATTCCAGGCAGCAAACAAAGTTAAATACAAATACAATTAAAAATATTAAAACTAATGAACAGTTAAAATTTTCTTGTTTGGGGTATTTCCTGATGTTATTTTTTTCCTAATGAGCATTTTTTCCTAAATGCTTTTCATTTTTTGTGGAAAGCAGATAGTTAATCTCAGCTGGTTCATGAGACATGACAGAGAGAGCTCTAGAAAGACAGCAGGATTTTAGGAATGAAGCAGAAAAATGACAGAGTAAGGACTCTTTGGCAGGAGCTTGCAATGAAGATCTGAGCTCATGGTTCTTTTTTTTTTTTGTAAATTTTATTGGTTTTTAAAAACAAACATAAACAAACAAAACATAAAACATCTTTTTTGAAAGCAGCATAATCCCGGGTTACATCTCTTCGTACAGACACAAATTCAAGTTCATGCTCATTTTTATATTCCATTCCATATCTTATTACTATTCTACATTTTCTATATAGCTTCTCCCCTCTTTTAACTTTCTTAATTTTATTTTATTTATTTCATCTCAATTCAAATCATTGTACTTATATTCTTTGTCTGTCCTGTTTCAACTGTCTACTATCTTTTCTCATTAAACAAAATTTGTCCTGTAATCACTGATTAGAGTATGACGCCTTTATATCTTTCCCCTAAAATTATAACAATATAATACATAACTTCCATTCGGATTCTGCTTGGAACATTCTAAAACTACACACTGTATTCTTAAAAAAAGATAAAATTATAAATGTATAATATAATTAAAACAATCCATACCAATTCAATTCTATCATTAATATTAATATTCATTTAAATCTTAACGTTTTGCACATTACTTTTCAAATAAACATCATACTTCTATGGGAACAATAATAAACTTTCCATAGTTAATTCCCCTGCCTTCACTTATATTTTATAAAACATTGACTAATTAAAATGTTCCCGTTCCTTCCTAATTCAATTTTCTCATTTATTTTATTTCATTTATTTTATTCACAAACATTTCACTAAATTACACTATTTTATCCTTCTTTTTAATCATATGTTGTTTCCAATTTTCTAACATTATTTCTATTACAAATATAACAATACAATCATGTACCTTCACAGAATCCCTTTTTCAGTTAGATTTTCACCCATTATCTCTAAATAGGTCCTGTTTCTTTACATCTTGCTCCAAACCTTTGTAACTTCTCTTCCTTTCCATCTTCCCTCTCTTCTTCTCTCTTCCCTTTTTACCCCACTGCCTCTCCACCTCCATTTCCCTCTTCTGTATTCCCCTTTTCTGTTGCTTTCCAACATTATATCCACTTTTCAAATTATTTTTCCCTTTTTTGGCTGTTTTTTTAAGTCTTAAATTCTCCATTTTCTTTCCCCACTTTCCCCTTTCTTCCCCACATAGTTACTTGTTCATTAAAGATGGCTTCTTCTTTGTCCCAATCTTCTTGTTGTGCAGTCTTTTCTTGTTGTTCCTCGTAGTTACAGATCTCTATTTCTAAGAATTGAAAAACGAAGCCAAAAGAGCCCTTCCCTTCTTGTGCATCTTCTTTATATTTTTTAAGTTCCATTTTCAATTCATCCAGAAGTGATGCCATTGTAAAAAAATTTTAAACAACCACCCAATTGTTTTTAGTCATTAAATCCAAAAGTCACCAAGCAATCCAAATACACACAAGCAGTTTCTTTTTACACCTTCTTTTTTTCACTTTCTCTTCCTGGGGTTACTATTTAGTTGCAAAGTTCCAGTTAAAATGTATCTTTTAGAAGTCTTATTGAGATTTTACTTTAGATTCTTTTGAAGTCCAGGCAGTCTCCTCCCTCCAGATCCTGCCCTTATTCTTTTCCTGTGCCTTCCTGCTTATAGAAAAAAAAAATTTAGTGTCCAGAAATCTTTATTGTCCCTTTGGCATTTAATTATATTTTCAGCTTAATTACCTATTGATGCCAAAGAGGATTTTTCCGATTTCTTATTCAGATCTCTTAGTTGTCAATGTAAGGAAGGAGAGAGAAGAAAAAAAAACTTTCCCTTTTCGCTTTCTTTCACTGCTTCCGACTCTTCTTTGGGAACGATGTTATCTTTTATAAAATTTAAATTCCAGTCTACCTTAGTTGTTGCTTTTTAACCCGGTCAGCCAAAACTTTCACTTCTTATCTTCCTCCTGCACTTTCTTTTCCGGTTGAGTGCTTCTTTGAGGTGGCCATTTCTGACCACTGCTCCTACCGCCTTCGGGAAAGGGAGTTTGGCCAGCTGAGGAGGAGAGATGCGGCTCTCCTCAACCCTGCTGGCGATCTCCTCCCTTTTCACCACCTCTACGGGGTGGCTTAGCCCCTAAGCCAGCCAGCTCGGGGCGCTCCAGCGGCGAGCCCAGGCAGAAACCGCGCACAATCGCAGATTCCTGTCTGCTGCCGAAGCCCTTCAAACCGGAAGTCCTGAGCTCATGGTTCTTAAAGGGCTTGGATTTATTTCATTGAAATGTTGACAATCTGTCAGGCCCAAAACCAAGAATGACATGTAACAATCCTTCCAAGCTGAGTTCTATATTGTTCCTTATTACCTTTTCTTTGCGTGCCACCCTGTGGTGATGTACAAGCCAAATTTCTGCCCAGTAACCACAATGGTTTCGGTCCAGGACCCATTGGAGTGTTTAAAACCACTAGTTTTAAAAATCATTCTATGTAAAAATGAGTCACTTAATAGGGACTAGAATACTGCCTTACTAACAAAGTAAGGAGAGACAGTGTAGTGGTTAAGACACCAAAATTGGGAGACCAAGAATTTTAGTCCCATTCACCATGAACTCAGCTGGATGATCTTGGGCCAGTCCTTCCTGCTCAGTTCTAGGAAGGAGGCAATGGCAAACCATTCTGAAATCTTCTCAAGAAAACTTCAAGGACTTGTCCAAGTAGTAGCTGGGAGTCAGTACTAACTTGAAGGCACCAAAGCAAACAAACTCTAAGTAGATTTCACTGGACTTGAATGAATTCACACATCCTTGTGTCTAGCAAGCTGAATCTGAAGCTATGGTTCATTATTTTTGTGGGTTTCTCAGAATAAGAAGCCATCAATTTTGATTTGTAGGTCAGAACTTGGTTTCTTTTAATACAAAATTTCCTAATTCATTTAGCTGTTTTTAGAAGGAACCAGCTGGAGAGCCATCAAGCAGGAAGTATATGCATGCTTGTTAAATTACAGTAATATAATGGCCTCTTTTAAATCCTCTTATTTAAAATACAGGTGATTGTTTTTATTGCTGAGGTTCTTCATTTGTTGGTCATCCCGTTTCTTCCCAGCGCTCTCCTCTTCAATGAAGTAAAATACATTTCAACACTGATGAACCTTCAGCATTTAGAAAACTCTCTGAAGCGCCAGTCCGATCTTGCTTTCGCATATGTGCAAGCAATTGGGACAGCAGGTAATCCTACAGCTCTAGTATCCATTCCCAAAGCTTTCTATCATTCATGGGCTACTGCTTTTGTGATATGTTTTGCTTTGAACTAACATGCCACTATACTGCTAAATGTTTTCTATTTTTAGTGCTGTCTTAATAGTTTTTCTCTTGTATTTTGAACTGGGCTGGAAGAGATAAGCCATATGTGTAATATGTAGATAAATGAAAGGTAAATGGCATTATGTCTATTCATACATGCCATGAACATGAATAGCTTTTGACATGGGTAGATTTTTCCTGGTGTTTGCAAAGTGAGGATTAAGTTGATTTAGGACAGGAGTGAGTGTGTAACATTTTCCTCACGAAGGAGTATATTTGGCCTTTGAGTGGTACACTGAAGAATTTAATGGTATGTGGGAATGATCTTGGGTGACAGGAGGAAGAGCCACAGACTGGACAACCAGTGTGTAAAAGGTATTTCAGCCCACAGAAGGAGGAGGGAGGCCGTGGGAAGCATTTCAGAAGGGATCCTGCCTCCTTTACCATTGAGTAAAAGGAAAGGAGGGGAGAAGTTCCTTTGGACCTGCAAGATTCTGTTAATTAACTTTACAATAAATATAGAGATAATATTCGTAGTTGTGCTTCATTTCTGGAGTACGGGTAGTTCTTGACTTACAATAAATAGTTCATTTAGTGACTTACAACAGCACTGAAAAATTGACTTATGACTGTTTTTCACATTTAGGACTGTTGTAACATTCCCACGGTCGTGATCAAAATACAGATCCTTGGCAACTGACTCATATTTATGACAGTTGTAGTGTCACCTCTGGACACCTTCTGACAAGCAAAGTTAATGTGAAACCAGATTCACTTAACAAACTTGTTACTAACTTAACAGCTGTAGTGATTTACTTAATAACTATGGCAAGAGAGGTTGTAAAATGGGATAAAACTCAGTTAACAAATGTTTAACTTAGCAACAAAAAATTGGGCTCAATTGTGGTCTTGAGTCAAGGACTATCTTTACCTCAGAGTTCTAAAAAACACCCTCCAAAGTTAATTTTAAATTTGAATTAAATACAGTTACTATTGTATCCCTAATGCTCAATATTGTTGTTTCTATGTTTAAAAAAAATGGTGGCAGTTTTTGAAAAGGCTCAGACATCTGAAGGCAGTACATTTCTGACTTAAAGGGAAAGGGAGATAGAAAGACAAGATTTAGTAATCTAGAGAAATTGATGAATAAATATTTTCTCTTTCTAGAGCACCGAGTCTTCATGGAGGCTGCGTTCGTTTATGGCTCAATTAAGTTTGCCTTAACTACCGAAGTGGCAGTTCTGAAGAGCATCCGGTATGCATTTCTCTAAGAGTATAAGAGCCCAACTGCATCAGACCAAAGTCTTCAGGCTAGCATTAGAAGTCACACACAGTGACCAAACCGAAACAGAACATGAGGGTGATAGCTTCATCCTTTTTAAGATGAAATGATTTCTGCTTTGGTTATTGCCAACTAACTCAGGGGTGTCAAACTGGATTTCTTCGAGGGCCGGATCAGCATTGTAGTTCTCTGTGGGCCAGCCAGAGGGAGAGGAGATGGGACGGATGTCTCCTGCAGCACTTTGCTGCCCCGTTTTGGCCGGCAGAGTGCTGCAGGAGGCCATCCAGGCCGAAAACAGGGCATGGGGCCCCACAGGTGGCCCCCCCCCCATGACCATTTTTGGCTGCCAGAGGCACCACAGGCCAGTCCTTTGCTATTTCCAGGCTGGCCCCGCAGGCCAGATTTAAGCACCCCACGGGCCAGATCTGGTCTGCAGGCCTTGAGTTTGATACCCCTGAACTAAGTAAAGGGAGTGATGCTAAGAAGGGAGTGATGAGTAACTGGATTCCAGTTTTGTGGATCTATTAAAAATGCAGGGGTCAGTTAAGGCAGGGATCCTTAATCCTGAGTCCGTGGACTGGCACCGGTCTGTGGCATGCCAGAAACCTCTCAAATAAGTGAAGCCCCATCCACAGGAATAAGGCAGCACATGAAACCACGCCTCCTCCCATCCACGGAAAAGCCTCTCCACTGAACCGGTCCTTGGTGCCCAAAACAAATAATTCCCTCAACACTGTCCAATTTACAAAGTCTGCACTACTATTACTATTAATCTTATCACTCCTTATCACCCATCCCCTCCCACTTGTGACTGTATGACTATAACTTTGTCCCTTGTATCCTAATGATTTTTATTGACTGTTTCCTAGCATGATTTGATTGCTTATTGTACCCTGTGACTATCATTAAGTGTTGTACCTCGTGATTCTTGACTCCTGGCGAATGTATATTTTCTTTTATGTACACTGGGAGCATTTGCACCAAGACATATTCCTTGTGTGTCCAGTCACACTTGGCCAATAAAGAATTCTATTCTATTCTATTCTATTCTATTCTATTCTATTCTATTCTATTCTATTCTATTCTATTCTATTCTATTCTATTCTATTCCATTCCATTCCATTCCATTCCATTCCATTCTAAAAAGGTTAGGGGCTGCAAAATTAAGGAGCGGAGGCTTTGATAGAGGTAGCTATTTGGACCAGGTGTCAGAAGTGACCCTTCACATATGATAGAGGGTTTATTTCTTGTTTGCCTTCCATTCTGTACATAGTGTAGCCAGGTGTTGGGATGTTTCAAACAAAGCCAGCTCATTTTTGGGTTTGATTTTTTTCCCCCCACTTCAGCTATGAAGAGCCAGAGGTGCCATCTTCAAAACTCTTCTTTTGCCACTGTAAAGTGGCCATGGATCCTGAACTGCCATGCCGCAGGACTCTGATGGAAGAGCCACTGACTACGTTAAGCATCCACAAGTTCCTGAAGTTGATGGGGGAACCTCTGGTGGTAGGTGAACAGGAGCCATGGCTTCTTTCCGATGTTCCTCTTGTGTTCTGAGTTCCCTTCAAAGCATATCAGGGCAGAGTTGAATCAGGTGAGACTAGTGGAATCAGTGGAAACGTTAAAGGCACTGGGGAAAATCCTTTTTTTGTTTTTTAAGAAAAAAGGGAAATTGAAAGTATGTGCAATACAGTACACAGGTAGTCCTTGACTTACGATTAATCACTTAGTGACCGTTTGAAGTTACGACCCAAATAGGACAGACACCTTCCTCAGCTCCCCTGTGGTTAAGGGACAGCACTTTGGGCACTCGGTAATATGGCCAAATTTATCACCATTTGCAGCGTTCTGTGGTTGTGGGATAGCATTTTATGACCATTTTGCCAAAAACTGGAAGTTTTTCGGCAAAGGTGCACCAGAGCAAATAATGAGTTTGCTTAACAACTGTCGTACTCATTTTATGGCAGTTGTATTTGCTCAATGACCCCTGAACAAAAGATAATAAAATTGCATCAGCCACTTGACTGACATGCTTTACATTCATCATGCTATACGATCATAACAGGCAGGCTCCGTTTATGGTCGTATGTCAAGGACTACACTGTATTGCCCACATTGCAGATATAGAAATAAATAAATATATACTGTTGCCTACATCATCCCTAGTGTCTTGAAGCCAAGGAAAGCAGAACAAAGTACCGGTTGTCATTGTGACAGTTATTCTGTGGTTAAACACAGAAAAGGAGCTTTTTGTTGATTTTATCACTGAGCCGAATCAACTGGTGTTTTACGCTATCTGCCTCATGAAATGTTATTATCAGATTTCTTCTAGCAAGGCAAGATCAAGGAAGCAAGATAGACAGATTTCTAAAATGCCATGATTTGAGGAAGAAAGCAGAATCATGCCAACTGCAATAGGAATCTCCAGTCTTTCGTTATTAGTGAGTTCATTAAGGCAGTTTCTTTGAACAATTTCAGTCTTTTCTTCCCAAGTAATAGCAAATTGGATTGAGATAAACTACCAATTCATCCCATTCCATCTTTGAATTGTTAATGGCTGGCATACCTCCTTTTTCTTTCTCAATCTCCTCACAATCTTTCCCAATTACTGATAAATAATATTTTAATTGTTTATAATTGGCTGATCTTCTTAATGAGTGAACATAATACCTTCCCAATGACAAAGATACTATGCCAAGGGAAAAAGTATAATAAGAAGTGAGATCACCTTAAAATAAAAGCTTATTATCATCTGAAATAATGCCCATTATGCTTTAAAGTATAATTATTCATTCCCTAAATTGAGACATTATTGCTAATACATGCTGGACAATTGAGAAAGTGAAAAAATACCTAAAAGAAATCAGTAAGTGCTTCTGTCATGCCTCTGTTGGAATCTGATTCCGAGGGAGAGGTGAAACAGCTGACAGGGAGTGGGAGTGTGGCTCCAGTGGCTGTGGAGGAAACTGGGGAAGGGCACAGTCCGGCTAGGTATTCAGAGGAAGACCCCCTCTTCATCCTAGGACATGCAGGGAGGATAGATAAGAGAGCAACATGGGTTATGGGGGAGAAAAGGTCTTGGGAAGGGAAGATACTTATTAGAAACTATCCACATAAAAAACACTGCTATTGTGGTGGAGTTTGTCCTGCCCATTTATTTTTCTTTTGTATCATGTCTATTTGATGGGCCACCTGCAGTACATCTCCACTGATCTTTTATGCTGGTGTTTCTTCTCCAGGTGGAGGTTGCAGAAGATCCTGAAAAGATTTCAACTACTCATCTCCAGCTTGGCCTACCACTGATTTTCATTCTGAGCCAGGAAGAGACCTTGGAAGCGGACAAGAGGATTGCTGAATCTGTAGCCTGGCAGTTGCTGGGGAAAGCAGGAGTCTTCCTTTTGTCAAGGTTCTCTGGAATTAAAATTAAAAAGGAATTAAAAAGCATAAGAGAGGGGAGAACTTATCTCACTACTGTTCTTAGTGTAAATCTTGAGGTTGGAAATTCCCAAAGACTCACAGCAAGTGTCAGGGGCATCTGCATGGGGCCCCCAAAATCATGGAAGTACATGTCTACGGGTTTTTTTAATTATCCAGGTCATGCTTGTCCCAAAGCATTTTAGAATGGCAACTGGACTTGGTTTTTTCTCGAAGATGTTTTGCTTCTCATCTAAAATGCTTGGAAAGAACCTTTCCAAAATGGAAGAAGCTCTTGGATGAGAAGCGAAACATCTTTAAGGAAAAACCCAAGTCCAGTTGCCTTTTGAAAATGTACCTTTGGGACAACCATGACCTGGATGACTGAGAATCTCCATAGACTTGCATCCATGGTGGACTCAGAGGCAAATTCTACTGCACAGTTGAAGCTCCAATTAAATTGACGCTCCAGTTAAATCTCCTCATTAAAAGGGTGAGGCTGTTTATGTGCGTATGATGCATCCCACATGCATGTAATAGGAGTCCGAGTTTTGTTTGTGACTGTCCATCTCGATAGTTTCATCCCCCAACCTTTGCAACCTCCACAGATATCCCTAAGGAAGATTTAGAAGAGGGGCTTACTTCCAATCAAACATGTCCAAAGTTGAAGCCTATCCTTTTGCTTAGGACAGTGTTCCTCAACCTTAGCAACTTTAAGTTGTGTGGACTTCAGCTGTCAGAATCTACACATTTTAAAGTTGCCAAGGCTAAAAAGAGACTTGGCTTAAGAAATTAACTTGGGTGTCTGAAGTTTTAATTGCATCTCTTCCCAGCCTGATGTCTGCAAAAAGTGTTTGATTACAATCGTCATTCTTAGCAAATAGGATTGATTTGACTGAAACAGGCTGTAGGTGGGTAGGTGTTTCTGCAGTAATGCTCATTCCTGTGATTAAACAACATCAGCAGTGCAAGATCTTGTCAGCACAGGTAGGAAAGAGCAAGCATGAGTTCCCAGCATGAGAACCCTGCTGAAATAAATCAAAGATGAATTCTGCAAGAGCTGAATATACTTGTTTATCTTTCATAATTTGATCAGTTTGCAGTTAAGCCGGGAGAGGAGAATGAGCTATTGTTCAAACCAATAGCTTATTGAAATTTTATTTGTGACTGTCAGTCTTCACTAACCATTGGTTATATGACTGAAAGCCTTTAAACCTCTGAACATTTGGTATAAAAATGAAAGTGCATATTGAAATGTGCATTCATACCATTTGGGCTTTTGTGGCTTCTGCTTGTGAAATAATTCTAATATCATTTGGAGTTATAATTGGCCAGAAGTTGTTGAGCTACAACTTTCAGCACCTCTTACCCTAACCATTACGTCAAAGACTGCTGGGAGTTGAAATTTAGCCACTTCTGGGATGACAGAAGTTGCCCACAGAAGGATAGCTGCAATATGGCAAGAAATACCAGGTGGTGCTACAGTACAGCTTTTGAAAGTTTCATTTACAACTTTGGCAAAATGGGTTGTTTTGTAAGGAATGTAAAATGAACCAGATAATAAATGTAGGTGCACCAGGCAGAATCCACATCTGCTTTTCTTTCTAATTTCAGCTTAGTGAGAGGTCATACATCTTAGTTGATGTGTGTGTGTGTGTTAGGAATGGCAGGCAGAAAGTTTTGCTGGAACCATACTTCCAAAAGTAATGGGAAGGGTCAGGACACAAAGTAAATTCGATTTTACTTGGCTTTAAATCAAAGCAAAATAATTAATATCATTCCACAGTAATTCATGCAGGGGTGGTGGTAAATAGGTCTCTGAACCTAAACAAGAGAAAGTTTCCGCTTCTTTGGCTTCCATGTGGTTCTGTGACTTTCACGCTGGTGCTTTACTAATGTTAATGTTTACTTGTGCTCTATTGTGTATATGCTGTTGTCTGTCTAATGTGCAATTGGATCCCCAAGCATTGCTTGAAGGAAGCAAGTGCAAGCAATATGGAACAATTCTTTTTATAAAGCAGGTAACCCTGGATGCCATGATTGGACTTCCCAGTGAAGTCTGTGGCTGGGTACCTTTTGCTATCTCCGTGTACATGTGTTTTAGCCAAGGAGAGAGCTTCCATATATTTTGCTAAGAGTTTTGTTGGGAATACTGTTGGCAGAACCAAAGGAACTGGAAGTGTCTCTGGGCTCATGAGAGTTTGGTCTTAGATCCAAGAGGAAATTTGTCATAGTGAAAGAACATTAGGATAGATGAGAGAAATTAGAGATTAAGGACAAGTGGATTGAGAGAAGTAGTCAAGAAGAATAACTTAAAGGGTTTTCACAGAGAAGAGGGGGTTGACTTACTCTCCAAAGCATCTGAGGGTAGGACAAGGAGCAGTGAATGGGTGGAAGCTCATCAAAGGGAGATCTAACCTGGAACTAAGGATAAATTTCCTGACAGTGGAAACAATCAATATAACAGTTTGCCTTCCAGAATTGTGGGTACTCCATTGCTGGAGGTCTTCAAGAAAACATTGGACAACCATTTGTCCAGGATGGTAGAAGGACTGGTCAGGAGGATGGACTTCTAAAGTCCTGTCCAACCCTATACTTCTATGTCTATGTCTAATTAGGACAAAAAGAACCTGAATTTTATGAATTTTAACAAATTGGTTAATACTTTGGCTGCATTTCTAGATAAGACCATCACTTTCTTCCTTATATCTATAAACATGGATAATAACAATAGCACTTAGTACCGCTTCATAGTACTTAACAGCCCTCTCTAAGCAGTTCACAGAGTCAGCATATTGCCCCCAACAATCTGTGAACCTTGGAAGGATGGAAGGCTGAGTCAATCTTCAGCCTGGTGAAATTTGAACTGCCAAATTGTAGGCAGCCGGCAGGCAGCAGAAGTACCCTGCAGTACTGCATTCTAACCACTGCGCCACCGGGACTCAGCACATTGGGGCAAAAGATGTTTCATTTAATCTTTCTGAGATGCTAATTGTTTTTCATGGAGCATTTGTTTTTATACAAAGAAGTTTTGAATAATTTGAACACAAACCTGTGGTCTGATAACAATATTTCTCTCTGAAACTGTTATAAAAATGTAATTCTCTACTGTAATTCATAAACTCTTATATCTTAAAAGGAATTCTGTTGGTCTGGAAATTTCTTCCCTATATAATGTGGCTATCAAGACAGTTGAGGAGGTAAGTGGTCATAGTCGTTATTTCGGACTGACTTTTTAATTTATTGTGCAAACCCAGGCTTGTTTGCTAGAAAGGAAATGCTCCTACTTACTTCCAGAATTATGCACATAAAATTTGCTGCTTTAGCTGTTCTGTATTATAGAGTGTATAGTAGTAATGTATTTGTTATTGGTGATGATAACCTTGGAATATTTCCAGACAGCTTTTAACAGTGTCAGTCAAAATGCATCTGAGAGTTGGATATTTGATCTGAAGATCAATATTCAATAGTAGAAACCCCGTTTGTTTATAAGGTCTATAATAATTCCCATGCCTTACTTCAGCACCTTTCTGAATGTGTGGTGTGCTGAACAATTGAGTTACCAGTTGAAATCTGGACTGTCCCATACATCCTATTTTGGGCCACATTTTTCTGGATATTTGCATCTCTGCAGGATATGCCTGTTAAATACCTCACATTGAAAGATGCAGATGAAATTGTAGCATTGCTGAAAAATGGCGAGCAGAGCAAACCTAGTCTGGATAATAAGGAAGAAGAGATTTATGAAGAGGAAGAGGATGAGGGAGTGGAGAATGAGAACAATGAACAAGGTAATTAAGATTCTTCAGAAGCGTCTTTGACCTATTAAGTTTTCACAAATTCGTTTCTTTGCTTTCCGATTAAAAAATAAATTAAAAAAATATTCTTCTCATTGTATTCACTGTCTGATATTCATTTCATTGAGGGGTCCTTGGTGCTCTTTGATAAGGTTGTTTTCTTGCAACTATTTCATTACCCAACTTAAGTACATTATCTGCATATTAAAAATCATCTGCAGATAGCTACTGTCATCTGCTTGCACTGATGATGTTACCTAGTTTGGGTATTGAAACATCTGCATGAAAACAACTAAGCTCAGAGAGACCCCTCATTTCAACCCTGACCTACAAATATACTCCTTCATCAGTAACACATTTCATTGCCATCCTTCTATAGCTTAATAGTTAAATTAACATGCTCCAAATGCTGAGTTTGACAAAAATTGCCTTTCCTACTAGCCTGCATTGATTCAATTTTCACCAAAGATGAGCAAATTATGTGCACCACTTTTTTTACATTCACAGTTTGTACATATTATTGTATATTAGCCCAGCTAGAGGGCAGCATATAACCAATCTTGGCTGGTTGCTAAAAGCTAACCAGGGTCGATATTGGCATCAGAGGCTACCCAGCATTTGCTGGAAAGCAATTTCCAAATCATTTATTCTCAGAATTCCCTTGAATTCTTCATAGGGTTTGGAGATGAAAATAAATGTAAGTGGCTGCTGCCTAGTTCTTTGTTAGTAAAGGGTACCCATTGGCAGTGCAAAAATATGTTGTTGCTTTTTTACTATGGGTTCACAGTATCCTGCAGGGAAGGAGAATTGTTAGGGAACAAATTTAGCAGTTTGCCTTCTAGAAAATGGACATTTTATGATAGGTCCATTTTGTGTCTACAAAGCCTTTCCCTGGATAGTAATCATTATTTTTGAGCATATATCATATATGCTTACTTATCCCAAAAGATTGTGGGGGCTCATTTTACAATTGTCCCTCTTATGTAGCCCAACTGGATTTTCAGAACTTTAGCAAGAGGGAAGACAATCATCTCATGAACTCTTTAATTTCTGATATTCTTCCTTTTTAATAATTCTTGACTATTCTTTGAGCCACATCCTTTCTTTTGCTATATTTTTGAAGAGGCTTTCCTACTGGGCAGACTTTTGTCCTTGATTTTGCTGATGAAAGTCCAGTGGCCTCTTTTCACCTTGGTGACCAAAGGATAAAAGTCAGAGACTGGCAATGCTCTACTTGCCAGGATTCAGAGGAATCCTGTTGCTGTTCCCCGAAGTTGCCATTCTTCTTGTTTCTGTGACCTTTTTGGGGGGAGCTCTCATTGAACAATCAAGTGGTGAAAGAAGCAGGGACAAGCAGCAGCCTTGGCCATTTGTGTTGCCTTTTCCTGCTAGGCCCAAACCATAGAGTTGAACTACTCTTCCCTAGGAGGATGGCTAGTAGTAAGGGATGCTGGGAGTTAAGTTCAACAATGTCTAGGCAACCTGAACCTCGAGAAGGAAGGGTCAAGTGAGGCAATGATGGTGATGGTGAAGAACAAGAGGTAGGGCTGTTTGGGAGGAAGTGGATTATGAACCTTGTACTAAGAAACCTACAAACCCTGAAACAAGTGATGGCTGCCAAGAAGACAGTTACATTTTTCATTTTCTCCATCATTTTTTTCCTCAGGGTATATTCACACCAATGATAATATAAGCACCTTTTCTTCACTCCGTCCCTCTTCTAAATTAGAATGTGCATCTGCTTTGCAGATATTCAGGATGATGAGGTGGTGGAATCTGTTGTCAGAGATCGGAAGCGTGAACTCCACCAGGAACACATCCGTACCTTGACAGAAGAATCCTTCCTCTCAATTCTGGCAGGCACCAACCACACAGCAGTGCTCTTCTATGCCAGCTGTAAGTCAGATTTTGCAAGGTGTTGTGCAGTGTGGGTTTGGTGTCTTCCATCGGCTGCAGTGCTCTTTAGAATTTAAGCTTTTTAAAGTTTTTTGGTTGTTTGCTTTTCCATTACAAGGCAAATATAATAGGTAAAGAAAGACAATGAATAAGCAGGTGAGGCTGTTTGTGATGGAAAATGGGTACCAGGAGAACCAGTGGAGAAGAGTTTTGGCAACACAGAGCTTTTACGGGGATGAGCCAGTAAATCTTTTCAGAGAAACACCCAGATCTAGATACTGCACAGTCCTGAGCTGGAGGAGGTTAGGTTAGCCACACCCTAGAATCTCTCAGGCTATACCTAGTAGGTTAGAAATTTATAGATTTAGTTTGGCAAGATTCTGTCTGCTAGGTATGAGCAAATAAAGGATTGGACCCTACTGATTTCATTGGGTCATCTTTGGGCTTGGTCATGACACTGTTCTTCATAATCATGCTGGAAATCTGTGGTAGAAAGTCCAAGTAAGAGCAGGATTCCACTGCCAAAAGAGAAGAATCAGTACAGAGTGGATGTTAAGGTATTGAACTACAATTGGGGAAACTCAGTTTCACATCTACCTTTGGATAGGGGAGCTCACCAGGTGATCCTGTGTCAGTCACTGTCTTTGAGCCTATTTACCATGAAGAGTTGGAAAACTTGGATGTGCTATGAATGCTGTGTTCAGCTCTTGGATGAAGATAGGATATAAACCTGTCAAATAAACAATAATAAAAAACATTTGAAAACATTTAAATGAAGAACAGTAATCTGTAACTTTTACGTTCATAGGCGGTTATCTCTAAAGACTATGTCCTGTATTGTACTAGGTACAATAAGAGGAAAGGCTTTATAGAAACATATGTGGATAATTTCAGGGAAACAGGATGCTGAGTTTATTGGAACTTTATTAGGATCCAGCAGCGCCCTTGTTTACTTGAGGCTGATCCTGCCTTTCAGTCCAAAAGAATCCCAGAAGTGTTATAAAATAAATAAAATACAAGTGTATTGGCCCTATCTCCTGGCATTGCTCTTGGGTTACATATCCTTCCATCCATCCTGCCTCATTCCACAAAAATAATGTTTTTATGAGCTCTTTGCTGTGGTTGCAGTCTTATGAGTGCTGGTAGTTGGGCAATCTTCTAGTTTAGTTGCATGTTCTGTTCTGACTAGCTGGGCTCCTCACTCTCTAAGGACATAGAAGCCAAAGACAGGCCTGTTCATTCATTGGCCAGTAGAAGCCAAAGACAGGCCTGATCATTCATTGGCCAGTAGAAGCCAAAGACAGGCCTGATCATTCATTGAAAATACAGTATATCCCATTTTATTATTAAAGAGAGTTAATTTTTAAAACAAAACAAAAATAACATTAAAATTAATTAAGAAATAAAAATTAGACAAAAATATATTCTCTGAACATGGAAAGGGCAAGAATCAAATGCATATCCTGAGAGAGTGAATTTCATAGCTTGGTAACCATCAGGAAAAGGCCCAATTTAATATGCCGAGGTGGAGAATGAAGGAGAATCACCAAAAAATGATGCCCTCCCCATCACTCCCAAACCTTACAACCACTCCAGAAGGACAATGTGATTGATGATATCTGTCAGTCCCCTAAGGTAATCCAGAATAGGAAATTAAAGCTATGCATGCTAAAACCACTTTTATAAAAGGTTATAGTAACAAGAGTCTTGCAAGTATAAATATCCTCCTCCATTCTCTCCCTTTCGCTTTGTGAGATATACTGTACTATATTGAATTCATTCATTTATTCATTTCCCACCTTTATTATCATCAAAAATAACTCACGGCCACCAACATACTTGCTATTCTGCCCTCTTCCTATTTTCCCCACAACAACAATCACCCTATGAAATCCATTGGACTGAGAGAGAATGACCCAAAGTCATTCACCTAGCTTTCATGCCTGAGGCAGGACTAAAACTCACTGTCACCTGGTGGTTTGTCCCTCAGAGTTCTTTGGAGAACCAAGGTGCAACTTGAGATCTGTGCACATGGAGAAGCCAGATAAAAATTATCAGTCTAGACCAGAGTCTCAGCCATCTGCCCATTCCAACCAGTGGCTAAGACCTTAGTTGAATCACCCACCAGATCTTCAGAGACAATCTCAAACCCCTTATGGAACCCAACTGGGTCCATCAGTATAGGCTTTCGAGGTTTAGAGCCATATAGTGTAGTTTGTCCATTAGCTATTTAAGCCTTTAGGAATTAATACTAATACCTTAAATTGTGCCCAATAACTATTGACAATCAGTTCAAATCTTTTCAGTACAGGCATCAAATCACCCTTGGACTTATACCAGATAGCACTTTACCTGTGCATTTTTTGGAATTTCTGGATACCTTGTCTTGTATAAAACATGTTGTCAAAAGAAAGTTGAGGGTTTTTTTCCGATATGGACTAGGATTCCTTCATGCCTTGAGTTTTGGCAGACTCCACACGCTCTGGTATCTGAAATATTGGGTTAACTTTTCCTGTTCTCATTTACAGGGGAAGCTGTATCTCTAGTGGTTATGCAGTCTTTCCTTGAAGTTGCTGCTCAGTTGAAAGGTATGGTTCAGTCTGTATGGTTGCTGTGGGTTGTGTATTTCTTTACATTTAATTTAATACAAGGTCTTCGTTTCAAATGATTCATTAAGCATAAAGTTAATCTTAGTAAGTGGGAAATCTTGGTAAGTGGGAAAGCTTTGTACCTGATAGAGCTATATAATCCCAAATAAATATTTATCCAACTTTTGCTTGAAAGCTTCCCATTTCTGACTTTCCCAGTTTGATATCCTTCCAATGGTTTGAGAGAACACATCACTTCCTAATGTAGAATGTGGAGGTCTGGAAAAAAAATAGAAAAAAATAATGGAGGTGGCCCTTTTTTTAACAAACAAAAATATTGTGAAATATTTCCAATTGTATTTATTCCTATTTTTTAAATTTTATGTATTTTATGCATTTTTTAAAAAAATGGTCTATTTAGAAATAGGTGGCTGGGAATTCTGACAGTCACAGTCAAAGACATCTTGAGCATTTATCAAAGATAGTTTAGTCTTCCGGAATGACTTCACTTTGGATTTGTTAAACAATAGCTGAATGGGTGTGTTTATATTATTTACTTCTCAGAACTCCCGTGTCTGCTTTTTACATTCCCGGCAGACTTCGACGTCACTAAATGGAAATTAAAATGCAGAGCTGAGAGTATGTCCTGCATACCTACTATTTGACAATAGGCAGAGAAGCAGCAAGTAAACCAGCTGCATACGAACACCCCGCCAACTCATCCCCTTAAAAAGCTGGACACAATAAACAGATGTATGATCTGTTGCACTCAGCTGACCAACTTCACTTCTGAATGCAGCTGCAGCAGGGAGTGACAGTAGGGATCCATGAATCTAAGAGAAGAAATAAAAAAGCACCCACTAACTTACCAACATAGAATGACCAATGTTTAGGTGACCCTTTTGTTTAGGAAGATAATCTGAACTACAACTTTATCTACTAGGTTGCTAAGCTTCTGGCAAATGCCAAGAGGCACTTTTACAAATGCATCAAAATCTAATGTACTTTAATTTAAGCCACTTAAGAGATTGATCTGCCTTGTTTTAAATGTTAAGGTATCTCTCCCTCTCTGTGCGTTTATGTTTATTCCAGTATTTTACATTGATTTATAAGGACTCCTTTTTCCTGGCATTAAATACTTTTGGCCAGGCTTGAAAAACAGCCATGCTACTGCTGAGTGATTTATAATAATGTAAGTCAACTTTCCAGTAGGCTTCACTATTGATTCAAAGAGTGGCATTTTTAAAAAGGTTGTAGTTTTAAATTTACTCAGTGGGTAGTCCTAGAATCTGTTATTAATTCTTGGGCTAAGCCTTGGAACAAATCAATATCTAAAACAATAAAGAATTGCCTTTGGCTGAATATACTTCCTAAATTCCTATGCAGTTGCAGTTATTTCTTTTCTACCAAAGTCTGGCAGTTTTCCAGCTGCCATTACTTGATTTCAAACGATTGTCCAGCCTGCCAAATCAATCAGTCAGTCACTTTTGAAGTCACCAAGAAATTTCTGTAATCATTTCCCAGAATCCATGAGGTCTTGTGAAAGAATGGCAGAAAAAATCCACATGATCCCATGCAAACACAGCGAAATCTCATGAGAACATATAGTAAAATGTAGAATAATAGAGTTGAAAGGGACCTTGGAGGTTTTTTGTCCAACCCCCTGCTCAAGCAGGAGGCCCTATATCATTTCAGACAAATGGTTGTCCAATGTCTTTTTGAAAACCTTCAGTGATAGAGCACCCACAACTTTTGAAAGCAAGCTGTTCCATTGATTGATTGCTCTCACTGTTAGGAAATTTCTCCTTAGTTCTTGGTTGCTTCTCTCCTGGGTCAGTTTTCAACCATTGTTTCTTGTCTTGCCTTTTGGTGCTTTGGAAAAGAGCTTGACCCCCTCATCTTTGTAGGAGCCGTTCAAATATTGGTACATTGCTATCATGTCTCCCCTAGTCCTTCTTTTCACTAGGCCAGACATATCCAATTCCTGTAACCGTTCTTCATATGTTTTAGCCCCCAGCCCTTTAATCACTTTCGTCAATCTTCTCTGCACTCTTTCCAGAGACTCAACTTCTCAACTACAGAGTTGTCTACCTTCTGGGATCTTAAGCATTTCAAAAAGTTACATTTATTTTTCTTTATTTTGGGGGTCTTACTACACTTGTTTATGGCATTAAAGATGGTGTCGCATCTGTAGGCGCTATGGGTCTAACTCTTGTTGTCTGCTTACAATTGAAAAACAGAGAAGATATACAAAAACCCTCCAGCACCCATTTGCAATCCTTTGGTACATGCAGATTGAGATGCTGAAACCCTGTGGACAATAATCAAATAGGGCAGCATGATTTTGGCCCATTTGAAGTAGAATTTAAGATGAACATGGGACTGCTTTGCTTCAGAAGCCTCTTACTTTCATCCTAATCCAAATGAAAAAAATGTATGACCCAGCTCCTTCTGGTGATAACAGTGCATTTAACAGATGACTGCCTGTGGTGCTCCAAAGATCAGTAGCTTCTAGGCCAAGGGTGTCAAAGTCAAGGCCCGAGGGGCAGATCTGGCCCATAGGATGCTTAGATCTGGCCCATGGGGCCACCCTGGAAATAGTGACAGTATGGCAGTGCCTCTGCCAGTGAAAATGGAATTAGGGAGGGCCATGCACAGCCCTTCTGAGCTCCATTTTCACTGGCAGAGGGTTGCAGGAGGCCATCCCAGCTGAAAATGGAGCTTGGGAGCAGAGGTGGAGAACCGGTAGTGGAAATTTTGAGTAATTTGGAGAACCGGTGGTAACCTTCCCCTAGAAGTGGGGAGGGAATGGAGATTTTACAGTATCCTTCCCCTGCCATGCCCACCAAGCCACACCCACCAAGCCATGCCACACCCAACAAGCTACACCCAACAAGCCATGCCACGCCCACCAAGCTATACCCACCAAGCCACACCCGGCAGTAAGAAAATGTGAATCCCATCACTGCTTGGGAGCCCGTTTTTGCTGGCAGAGCGTTCGGGCCAGAGGCGCCCCCAATATGAGTGAAGTCAAGCTGGTCACTCAATGAAATTGAGTTTGACACCCCTGCTCTAGGCAGTCTTAAATTTTAATGCTGCTCTTTTTAGAACTTATAAAAAAATATCACATCTATCTTAGAATTGGTTTATTTAAACCTTTTGGCCTTCTCAACTCCCTGACCACTGCCATAACTATGTGGATGTTAATTTTCTAGTTTTAAGTTTAAATGGAGGATAAAACTTGCTTTTCTTAGAAACTCTTTGCTTGATGAAGCTGTTGGTGTACTTGTTCCTGATTTGTTTTCCAATTGCTATATTTTGCTTTTTCACTTTACTTCAGAGGCAGAAAGAAACATAAAATTAACCTGACTATTCAAAGGGGTGTTGAGAATGTGTTTCCTGAGAACAATTATTTTTTTTTACGTCACATGAAATTTAATTCTGAACATTTAATCCTCCAGTTATTAAAAGCAGCCTGTAATAGAATCACAGGGATCAAAGGTGGATTTTTAAAAAATTTTTTTAAAGAGAGTCAGAAATCCTACTGAATATTTCCAAGATTTTCATTATGGTGAGAGTAAACTAAAGTACTTTACAATACGTAAAAATACATAACAATATGTGGAATTTGGTACCACAAATTCAGGGCAATGAACCAAAATTCTATTGACTGTATGATCTTCTAGATTTAATTATAGCACTTATTAAAGAGTAACAGAGGAAAGAGCCACTGTCTTCAGACCTTTCTCATGGATGGTCTTTGATCTGATTCAGCAAAATTCCTATGATATTCCAACCAATATGTTTATTTTTGATGTATCAGAAAATCAGCTGAAGAACCAATGAATAAAAACTAGAGTGGTTCTTCATAGAATCAAAGTAGTCGATGGAGTAGATTCTAAGGTTGTTATTTTTCTAAAGTTTCATGAACCTTACACAAAGAGCCAGAAACATTTATATCACTCCCCTTTTATTGTTTCTTCCACACATTTTCTGTAGGGACTCCTGAGATTTCACTTGCAAGGGTAAACTGTTGGGATTGGCCACACCTTTGCTTGCAGGAAAATGTCACCCAATTTCCTATCATGAAGATGTATACAAAAGAGAGGGCATGGCTGGCTTACTCTGGGATGTGGGAGACCAAAGAGATGATGAAGTTCATTGAATTGTAAGTACTATGTTGCTGGTTAAGAGCCACTTTAGGGTAAACTTTCTGGATCCTGGTGGGATTCAAATTTTTTTATTACCGGTTCTGTGGGCGTGGCTTGGTGTGCATGACAGGGGAAGGACACTGTAAAATCTCCAGTCAGAGGTGGTATTTTCTGGTTCTCTGAACTATTCAAAATTTCCGCTACCAGTTCTCCAGAACTGGTCAGAACCTGCTGAATACCGCCTCTGCTCTGGATGTCTTTGGACTTAAACTCTCATTATCTCCAGATTATATAAGCAAAATCATGGAATAGACGAAACCTGGAAAGAAATTGAAAGGAACCCTTGAGGGAAGAATTGGCTGGGAAGTAGTTGAGAAATGTGAAATTCAAATTGTTGCATTTTGGGGAGTGGTTAGTTCTTTCTTACATTTATAACTCACACTTTTTCCCAAGACTTCAAGGTGGTCCCCTAAATTGTACCCACATAATTGTACCCCTGTGAGGAGGTAGATTTAGCAATAATGTAGGCCCAATGCCACAGAGAGAGCTTTATGTTTAAGTGGAAAGTCAAACCTGAATCTCCTTGACCCAAACCTTGAATCTTAACTCCTATGTTATGTGGGCTGTCAGTAAGAAGAATTCAGAAAGCCTGAATCTGAGGTAGCTTTGCCTCTGCATTTTACAGCTGAAGTTGAAGCAAACGTATAAAGTGTACATGTGCCATTCAGATTAGATGAAAGAACAAGATGTGCATTCATACATTTCTCCATGACACTCTGAAATTGTTTTGGAAAAATGCTGAAGACGTGGGAGATGCAGGGAATGGAGTTGTCCTGCACCTAGGAAACAGAATTCTGTGAAAGCAAAATAAAATAAAACTGTCCCTTGTAAATAGGCCTGAAGTCTGGTTTCAATTTACATCTTTAGAAGCAGAAATTCTTGCCCAGTGAGATTGATGACGCCTGAAGAAATAGAAGAATATTTAAGTGACAAAACCTTACCACATCGCACTGTTTCTGTATTGGGAATATTTGACTCAAGCATGAGTGAAGGTAAATCTATTGCCTGGTTATTTCAAACATTATTGCAAAACACAATGTTACTGAAAGTAATAATGCTTTTTTATGCCTTGTGATTGTAGAATAAAATTTATGCTGGGATCTTTCACAACAACCCACTAGACAGAGCACTGGCTGTATTATACAAGATTATTGCTTCACTTTGGGAGCCAAATTCAGGGCTGGGGAGTGATTTTTTTTTCTCCCTTATAATATTAGAATTTGGATTGCCCAGGGAGGTAAGAGGCCAGAGAATCAAGAATGAATGTAAAAAGTATGTAAACATCCTTCAGAGAATTTATTTGTTAGAAACAAGTACTATACTTCTCCCTTTATCTCTCATCTCATACACACAAACACAAAACTCAGATGCTATTTGGGATATATTGGAAAAATTCAGAAAGGATTGGGGGGCAAGTACCAGATTTTCTTTGACCATGAAAATCTGAAATTACTCATGCTCCACTTCTATTTTTGGGGGGTTCCCCCCCGTTACTTCTATGTATACAGGTAGAGTACAGGTAGTTCTTGGGTTGTGACAACAAGTGGGACAGGAAATTCTATTAAGCAATGCAGTTGGAAAGTGATGTCATGTGACTAGGCTGCTTAGCAACAGCAACTTTGGCAGTCCCAATCGTAGTTGTTAAATGAGGACCATCCTCACATGAAAGTGAGAATTTCATGCGATCGCAACCACTGACTTCCTACTGACTTTCCTATTGATTTTGCTTAGGGAAAACCAGCAGGGAATGTCAGAAATCATGATCCTATGATCTTGGGGACATAACAATGACCGGAATTCTGAGGATCTGTCCCCATTACAACTTTGAATAGTTTGCTGTAACCTGAGGATTACCTCTAAGACATTCCTTCAACTTCTCCAACCTGATTCCATAAGAAGCATTGTATGATGACCTGGGGCATGGCACAAAGGCAACACAAGTCACATAAGTAAGAAAAGTCCCTTTAATATCTCCAGCTTCGCCCCCAATGTCCAGTTACCTTTGGCTGGAGAAAAAACTCTCCCAAGAAGAGTCTTTTAAGTGGAGGATATTTAGTCCGAAAACAAAGTACATATAAACTGTAAATAACAATCCACACAAACCATGCTGCAGCAATTAACTGGACAGGGCAGAATAAGGAATTGAAGACTTCAAAGGCCAGCGAAACACACACAGTTGGGAAGATGCCAGGAATCCAGATAAGCCTCGACAAAACAAGATAATACACGCTTTGTTTCCAACAAGTTGCTGCGCGCAAACTCCCTTTTTAAACACTGTTCCCACTGCAGCTAATGAAGGGAATCAGGGCCCTTTCCTCCCCCATAAGCCACGCAACTCACGTTGCTCCCTTCTCTGTTCCTCCCTGCGTGCCCTAGGATGAAGAGGGGGTAGGTCTGGATCTTCATCTGAATTTCCTCTGCCTTGCTCTACCTCTCTCCTGCTCTGCCCAGCTGGACTGTGCCCTTCCCCAGTTTCTTCCCCAGCCAACAGAACCATCCCACTCCCTGTCAGCTGTTCGGCCTCCCCCTCGGAATCAGATTCCGACGGGCATGACACATTGAAACAGTAATTCCCAACTTGGAAGTAGTTGAGGCCAGAAAATAGCTAATTTAGATTGAATTTATTAAACTAAGCTAAACTAAAATTATTATTCCCAAAGTATTTTATACTTTTCCTCTGCTGTCACTTTAAAATTATGATTTAGCGGTAACTTTGGAAGGTTCCTTTCAGCCACATCTAAGAACTGCATTAAGTGTTTTAATATTCCTGCTTTTTTTAATGTTTATGTTTGTTTAGGCCAATAGGGGGCAGCAGCATATCTGTACTTGGCTCCAGATTCTGTTGCCTGTTGAATACGGTACATGGCTGGGTGAAACACCGACTTTTATATGGAGATAAACAAATCAGCTTCAGCAGGAAATTGAGTTGAGATTGTCAGATAATTACCAACAATTTGTTTTCATCGCTTTTGATAATGAACTTCAAAATTGTACGATGGTGTTTATGTTTTTGAGGGTGAGGCAAAGAAAGAAGAGAGAGAAAACTGATAACTATTTAAGTTATTCACGACTCAGAGATTGGTAAACAAAAAGATCTAGAATGTGTGAAGAAGCCCAAAGCCAAATGTAAAACTGATGGACAGATTGATTTAATACAAAGGGCTATTTTCTGGGTATAAGGCATTGTTACTACGTGTCAGGCCAGTGCCTTCACTTAAAGCAAGAAAATCGATCATGACTAGAATTTTTTTTTAAATTTTATTGATTTTTGAAAACAAACCTAAACAAACAAAACATAAAACATAAAAACATAAAACATCTTTTTTGAAAGCAGCATAGTCCCAGGTTACATCTCTTTGTACAGACACAAATTCCAGTTCATGCTCATTTTTATATTCTATTCCATATCTTATTACTATTCTACGTTTTCAATATAGCTTCTCTCCTCTTTTAACTTTCTTAATTTTATTTTATTTATTTCATCTCAATTCAAATCATTGTACTTATGTTCTTTGTCTGTCCTGTTTCAATTGTCTACTATCTTTTCTCATTAAAAAAAATTTCTCCTGTAATCACTGATTGGAGTATGACGCCTTTATATCTTTCCCCTAAAATTATAACATTTAATATAATACATAACTTCCATTCGGAAACTGCTTGGCACTTTCTAAAATTACATACTGTGTTTTAAAAAAGGAAAAATTATAAATGTATAATATAATTAGAACAACAATCCATACCAATTCAATTCTATCATTAATATTAATATTCATTTAAATGTTAACATTTTACATATTCCTTTTCAGATAAATATCGTACTTCTATGGGAACACTTATGAAGTTTCCATAGTTAATTCCCCCCACTTCACTTATATTTTAGAAAACATTGAATAATTAAAATGTTCCCGTTCCTTCCTAATTCAGTTCTCTCATTTCTTTTATTTCATTTATTTTGTTCACAAAAGTTTCACTAAATTACACTGACTATTTTATCCCTCTTTTTAATCATATGTTGTTTCCAATTTTCTAACATTATTTCTATTACAAATATAACAATACCATCTTATGTGCCTTCACAGAATCCCTTTTTCAGTTAGATTTTCACCCATTATCTCTGAATAGATCGTGTTTCTTTACAGCTTGCTCCAAACCTTTGTAACTTTTCTTCCTTTCCTTCTTCCCTTTCTTCTTCTTTCTCCCCTTTTTACTCCCCTGTCTCTCCACCTCCATTTCCATCTTCCGTATTCTCCTTTTCTGTTGCTTTCCCACATTATATACACTTTTCAAGTTATTTTCCCCTTTTTTGGTTGTTTTTTTAAGTCTTAAATTCTCCATTCTCTTTCCCCCCTTTCCCCTTTCTTCCCCAGATGGAGTTACTTGTTCATTAAAGATGGCTTCTTCTTTGTCCCAATCTTCTTGTTGCACAGTCTTTTCTTGTTGTTTCTCGTAATTACGAATCGCCATTTCTAAGAATTGAAAAACAGAGCCAAAGGCGCCCTTCCCTTTTTGTGTCTCTTCTTTATTTTTTTTAAATTCCATTTTCAGTTCATCCAGATATAGTGTCATTGTAAAAAAATTTAAACAACCACCCAATTGTTTTTAGTCATTCAAATATAATATCTAAAAATCCCAAAGTCACCAACCAATCCAAATACACACAAGCTGTTTTTTTTACACTTTCTTCTTTTTTTACTTTCTCTTCCTGGGGTTACTATTTAGTTACAAAGTTCCAATTAAAATATATCTTTTAGAAGTCTTAGAGATTTTACATTAGATTCTTTTGAAATCCAGGCAGTCTCCTCCTTCCAGATCCTGCCCTTATTCTTTTCCTCTCCCTTCCTACTTATAGACAAAAAGGATTTTTTAATGTCCAGAAATCTTTATTGTCCCTTTGACATTTAATTATATTTTCAGCTTAATTATTGGTGCCAAAGTGGATTTTTCCAATTTCTTATTTAGCTCTCTTCATTGTCAATGTGAGGAAGGAGAGAGAAGAAAAAAAAAAAACTTTCCCTTTTCACTTTCTTTCTCTGCTTCCGACTCTTCTTTGGGAACGATGTTATCTTTTATAAAATTTAAATTCCAGGGTACCTTAGTTGTTGCTTTTTATCCCGGTCAGCCAAAACTTTCACTTCTTATCTTCCTCCTGCACTTTCTTTTCCAGTTGAGTGCTTCTTTGAGGTGGCCATTTCTGACCACTACTCCTGCCGCCTTCAGGAAAGGGAGTTTGACCAGCTGAGGAGGAGAGATGCGGCTCTCCTCAACCCTGCTGGTGATCTTCCCCCTCGTCACCACCTCTATGGGGTGGCTAAGCCCCGAAACCAGCTGGCTCGGGGCGCTCCAGCGGTGAGCCCAGGCGGAAACCGCGCACGATCGCGGATTCCTGCCTGCCGCCGAAGCCCTGCAAAGTCATGACCATCTGGCAGAAGGATCTTTATTATTAATTGTTTGATCCACTTTATTGGCAAAATCTGGCTTTTGCTCCGAACTCTTTGTAATCAGACTGACACACTCAGACAGTTGATAAGGGCTCACAAGGTCAGAAAGACCTGCCCTCGCAAGCATCCCATCTCCTGCCTAAGTGACTCTAGAGGCCTCTAAGAGGGAGTAGCATCTCTTTTGCTTCCTATTGTCTGTCCCCCATCTTAGGTAACCTCAGATGCAATGTTGGCCTGAGGTAAACAGTTGTCCAAGCAAAATGGTGCTTTTTCCAATAGAAACATGAGTGTCCCAAAGCTCCTGCCTACCTTTCAATCTTTCTTACATCCCTGTGGAACACTTTGGAGCAATCGTTCTATAAGGTTTTGTTCACCTTTTAAGAAGAAATTCACACTCAATAATGACAATAGGTCAGGACAGGATAATTTGGGAAATTGCCTTCAACCACTTGTCTGAAATGGTGTAGGACCGTGATGGTGAACCTATAGCATATGCGCTGGAAGTGGCGCACAAGCCATCACCCAGAATAGATTGACTGCACATGCATGCATGCCTCCCAACAGCCAGCTGATTGTCGAGTATCTGCCGTGTATGCATGAGGGAGCATGTGTGGGAGGCGCATACGCAGAGGCGTGTGGTGCACACGGGGTCTTTTGGCGCGTGATGATGAAAAAGTTAGCCATCACTGGTATAGGATCTTCTGCAGAAGGTCCCTTCCAGCTCTATTCTATTCCTTTTCTTTTATAGGAAAAGCCAAGAGCAACTGAATTTACTCATTGGGGTTTTCCAGAGATTTTGTGGCCCTGCATATTTTCCATTCTAAAAAGAGTAAGAAGCTGTTAAAATCCAAATATCCAATCACAATATGAACATCAGATACTCTAGAAGGGACTCTAGCACTGTCCATCTTCCAAGAGGGCCAGTCTTTTGCACCCTGAGGGCTGCATTATTGGTTAGATAATGACCAAGGCTAGGGTAAAAGCTCAGTGAAAAGCCTACAAGTGCATCAACAAAGTAATGCAATTTGCACAATGAAAATTTAACACGGTATTCTTGTTAGAGCAACTTTTATACATTGGTGACAAAATATACATATGGAACTTCTGATAATATAAATCAGTTTTGGAATTGCATTGTTCTTAATGTTATTTAAGGAAATTACATTGACAACAAAATAGGATAAATGGAGTTACATCTGACAAAGTTTCCTCGTAGTTCTGATTATCAAAATCAGGAATAAAAATACAGTTGAACTCACCAATTCCTACATGTCATTTTTCAATGACATTGAATAATTGTCATTATTCAATGGCAGCAAGTCTGGTTTTTTTCAGTACATGTATTGGGTATATAAATTGAGTAAACAAGTATTTATAAAATAGCCTTGGTATTCTTTGCAGTTGAAAGCAATACTGTATGATATACATTTATTTCACTTATTGCTTATGTCAGATTGAAGTTGATAAATTTAGCCAGGGGCAAGAAAAGAAATTTGGTCATTATGTTACATTTAAGGCTGCTTTGTTTTGTCAGCAAGAGAGGCTTTTATTGAAGCTGGAAGAATCTTAAATGGATATGTCACAACAGGGATCTACTATGAAGAGGATGCTACAATTCTGTATGTTGCTTTTTTTCATGCTTAAATCAGATAATGGACCAATTGGTTGATTGTTGTATTTAAGGACTGGACAAGATCTAGACAGAATTCTTCCTTTTCTTTACCGGTGGAGCTCTGTTTCTAATTGTCAGCATCTTTCTAAAGCAGAGTTTCTTCACCTGAGATCCATAGAACCCTTGGAGATTCATAGATAGTTTTAAGGAGTTCATGAACTTGAATGGAAAAAATGTTTTCATTAATGTCTAGCTGGAATTTATCTTTTCATCCATTAATGTACAAGGGGCAGCAAAGTAATGTATGGCCTCTAAATTAAAAAAAAACTGTTTAGTTCTTGTCATCTAAAATTATTATGTCCCAAGAAAGGGTAATATTTCGTTATTGATTGACTGGATTAATGAAAAAACACGTAAATTACTATGTTACATAAATATTTTGTTAACTGTATTTGAGCATAATTACATTTTCTTTGTAAGTTATATATATGTTCTGTATATTCATTTTAATGCCCATTGGTTGCAATAAGATTCTCAAATGGGTCTCTGGCATAAAAAGATTAGGAAGCCTCTTTCTAAAGAGAGACTTGAATAACTGAATGTGGTTCACAAAGCTGTTGATTAATGGGAGAGCAGATTTGTGTGTGATTCTAAGAAGTGCTGTTTTTCCAGGGCTGTTCCAGCTTCTCCCTCAGGAAAAATGCTATGCATTTTCTAAGATGACACTTTCAGGACTGTATATCATCAAGGAAATCTAGTATAGATAGTCCTCGACTTAGCTCACAATTTAGCTCACAATTGAGCTAAAATTTATGTTGCAAAACAAGACATCTGTTAACTGAATTTTGTCCCATTTTACAGCCTTTCTTGCCAGAGTTGTTAAAGTGAATCACTATAGTTGTTAAATTAGTAACACATTGTCAGAAGGCCACAAAAGATTTTCACAACCGTCAGAAATATGAGTCATTTGCCAAGCATCTGGATTTTGATCACTTGATCAAGGGCATGCTGCAATGGTCATAAGTGTGAAAAACGGTCATAAATCACAACAAAAAGTTACTAAATGTACCGTTGTAAGTCAAGGACTACCTGTATTTATATGCACATGCATACAGTCTTCATTCGATGATCAGTTCAATTTAACTAAGGCTCCTTTAATGATTTCACCAAGATTCCTCAATCAGATAATAAAAAAAGCAATTTGGGTAGATCTTTTAAATATATTTTTGTTTTGGTTTTTTTCCTCAGCTCCCATAAATATAATGTACCTCTTCCAGCACTTCTGTTTGCTAAGTCTGCCACTCAGCAAAGGAATGCCTTCCAGCTCTCGCAGTATAACACGCAAGACATTGTTAAAGTAATCCGCCATGCATTGCTGGAAACATTTGTGAGCATAATTTCTACTGTTTTTTTTATTTATTTAGAGACAGTTTGTTTTTTATTTAGAGACAGTTTCTAATAAGAAGTTCAGCACATCTGAGTGCCCTGATTCTAGCAAGAAAATTAAGCCTAATTGGTTAAAGAGTCTTCTGGGCACACAATTACTAAAATTGAAGGTGCCCTTTTTTTAGAACAGCTGGAGCATTTTTCCATTATTATATGTGAGCTTTGCTTTGTTGCAGCCAGAGATCACCGTGGAAAACCTGCCTGATTACTTCCAGATGAAGAAACCTTTGCTCATTTTATTCAGTGACGGGGATCCTGGCGAAAGGGAAATAGAAGAGATTAAGCATGTGGCTATTGGCGAGGACCACAAAACCTTTATTGCTTGCTGGCTAAACCTGTAAGCTTGCAGAATACCATGCTGACCTCTCTTTGGGGATAGAGTTTACAATATATGGGCCTTTCCTATTGGTTTGAACGTATTGGAGGTGAATAAATGAAACATGAATTTTGTGCTAGGAGTCCTCCCTTAATGATGGTAATTGGGACCAGAATTTTTGTCACTAAGTGAGCAGTCATAGAGTAGAGCATTATATGACTGTGCCACTTAGCAATTGCAATTTCGGTGGCCTCTGGTTACCACTGTTAAGTGAATCATCATTAAGAAAGGACCTCATGTTATCATGACTTCTGACTTCCTGCTGGCTTACTCGTTGTTTTTGCTGGTAGAAAGTCAGCAGAAATGGCTGCAAATTGTAATCATGTGACTGTGGGATGTTGCAACAATTAGAATGAGCATGTGTATCCTTATCACATGACCGTAGGGGATGAGTGGGTACTGCCACGGTCTGAACTGTGAGGAGACATGGTAAAGCTCATAAGTTCATGTGGTCTCTGAATGAGTGGTATTAACTGAGGGCCACCTGTAGTTAGCATATTCTTTAGGTTAAGGTTTAGCATTGTGATTTAAAAAGTTCTTTAGATCAGGGGTCGCCAGCCTTTTGGACCTCAGGGTCCACCAAACTCATAATTTTAAATCATGCGGACCACTAATATAAACTTCGATGGTGGCTTGCTGACGTTGGTGGGAAAATCGGGCCCATATTCCAAAGCTGCAGTACTCACAGGACTTTTGGTCATCCCGGAGCAGCTGCTCCTCCACCCGGGTGCATCGGCCTGCCATGGACTGGAGGAGCTGCACTGGGATGATCAGAAGGCCAATCATGTGACTACTGCAGCTCTGGAATATGGGACCGACTTTCCCACCAATGTCAGCAAGCCACCCCAGGGTGGATTTCCCTCCCCCACCATTGGTCTTACCTTCCAGTCTGGCTTGCATGGCTCTACTCAAAGTAAGATTTGCGCTTTGCCGAAGGATGGGGGCCAGCGGGCGGGCGGGCCATGTGGGCAGTGCAGCCTTGTGTTCCTGCGCAGCCTGGATTAATTGCTTTGGGGGAAGTGCTTGGGGGGAGAACGACATTTCTCTGTGGACCACCAAAATTTTCTTGTGGACCACCAGTGGTCCCCAGCCCACTGGTTGGTGACCACTGCTTTAGATATCCTAAATCATATTTTACAACCTTGGCCACTTTGAGATGTGCGGCCTTCAATTCCCTTAATTGCCAGTTACAGATACAGATAATCAAAGTTGGAAGGGACTTTGTAGGTCATCTAATCCAACCCCCCGCCCAAGCGGGAGACCCTACACCATTTCTGACAAATGGCAGTCCAATCTCTTCTTGAAAGTCTCAACTGATGGCGCTCCCACAACTTCGAGGCCAAGCTGTTCCATTGGTTGATTGTTCTCACTGTCAGAAAATTTCTCCTTGTTTCCAGGTTAAATCTCTCCTTGTTCAGTTTCCATCCACTATTCCTTGTCTGGCCTATAGGAGCTTTAGAAAATAGCTTGACTCCTTCCTCCCTGTGGCAGCCCCTCAAATATTGGAAGACCGTTATCATGTCTCCCCTGGTCCTTCTCTTTACTAGACTAGCCAAGCCCAGTTCCTGCAACCGTCCATTGTATGTTTTAGCCTCCAGTCCCCTCATCATCCTGGTTGCTCTTCTCTGTACTTTCTCTAGAGTCTCTACATCTTTTTTATAATGTGGTGAGCAAAACTGGATGCAGTACTCTAGGTGTGGTCTTACTAAGGCTGTATAGAGTGGTATTATTACTTCCCTTGATCTTGACTGTATCCCTCTGTTAATACAACTTAGGATTGCATTAGCTTTTTTGGCAGCAGCTGCACACTGCTGGCTCATATTTAGCTGGTTGTCCACTAAGACTCCAAGATCCCTCCCACAGTTACTGCTATTGAGCCTGGTTTCACCCAGTCTATATGTGTACTTTTGGTTTTTCTTGCCTAAGTGTAGGACTTTACTTTTCTCTATATTGAATTTCATTTTATTAGATATGGCCCAGTGTTCTAGTCTGTCAAGATCCATCTGGATCTTGAGCCTATCTTCTTGGATGTTAGCTATTCCTGCCAGCTTAGTATCATCTGCAAATTTGGTAAGTTCCCCTTCTATTCCCTCATCTAAGTCGTTAATGAAGATATTGAAGAGTACTGGTCCTAAGACGAAACCTTGTGGCACCCCACTGCTTCCTTCCCTCCATGTAGACTTAGACCCATTAAGAACTACTCGTTGAGTATGGTATGCCAGCCAGTTGCAAAACCATCTAGTGGTGGTGCTATCTATTCCACTTTTTTCTAGCTTACTAAGAAGTAGGTTGTGGTCTACTTTATCGAATGCCTTGCTGAAATCTAAATATGTTATGTCCACAGTATTTTGCTGGTCTATTAATTTAGTCACTATGTTGAAGAATGAAATAAGATTGGTTTGGCATGATCCGTTTTAACAAACCTGTGCTGACTGCTAGTTATTACTTTACTTGTTTCTAGATGTTGGCAGATCTGTTTTTTTATTATCTTTTCCAGTATCTTCCCGGGTATTGATGTTAGGCTGATTGGTCTATAGTTTCCTGGGTCTGTTTTTTTTTCCTTTTTTGAAGATGGGAACCATATCAGCTCTATTCCAGTCCTCTGGTAGTTCCCTGGTGCTCCAGGATTTTTGAATGATATGGTACAGTGGTTCTGAGATGACCTCTGCCAGCTCCTTTAAAACTCTGGGATGCAATCCATCAGGTCCTGGTGATTTGTTTTCATCAAGATCAGACAGGTGTTCTCATACTATTTTTTGCTTATTTTAACTTTTATTTCTGGTCTGTCTTTTACAGTTATGTTTTTGGGGGGTTGAGCTATAGTTTCTTTTTGCGTGAAGACAGATGCAAAAAATGAGTTAAGCAGTTCTGCTTTCTCTCTGTTGCCTGTTACTTCCTTGCCTTCTTCTCTCTTTAGTGGACCGACTGTTTCCTTGATTTTTTTCTTGTTATTGATATGTTGGAAGAAACTTTTTTTTATTATCTTTGACTTTTGTTGCAAGTCTTTGTTCGTTCTGAGGCTTTGCTATCCTGACTTTGTCTTTGCAGATTCTGGCTATCTGCTGGTATGTCCTTCTTTCCATTTTTTGTACTTGTCCTTTTTTTTTCTTTCAATTTGCCAGAGAGATCTTTGTGTAGCCATGCTTGTTTCTTCTTGGATTTCTTGTTTTTCTTTCTCAGTGGTATTGTGCTGGTCTGAGCTTCTATGATCATACTTTTTAGATTCTTGAGTTGTTTTCCCCTTTAGGATTTTCATCCATGGAATCTTTCCCAAGTTCTCTCTGAGTTTATTGAAATCAGCTCTTTTAAAATCCAAGACTCTGGTGTCATTATGTTCTATTGCTTGTGTTTGTGTTATGTTGAATTCTAGTATGACATGATCACTCTCACCCAAGGTTCCTGCAGTTTCAACTCCCTCTATCACTTCTTCTCTGTTTGTAAGAATTAAGTCCAGTATGGCTGTCCCTCTAGTTTCACCCTCTACCTTTTAGACAACAAAATTGTCAGCTAGGTTGGTTAGGAACTTATTTGATTTCTCACTTGGTGCAGAATTAGTTTTCCAATTGATACCAGGATAATTGAAGTCTCCCATTACTATTGTTGTGTGTCTTAACTATGGGACTTGAAGTCCATACAAGTTAAACATTTCCAAAGTTGGGAAACACTGCTGTAAACAAACATTGCAGTGATTTAAGTAGGAAAGATGACACTATATGGTTAACAGTCATAATAACAAAGGATACCAAAACAAAATTAACAGCCGAAATAAAGATACTAGTTTTAAAACTGTAAGGCTCCTAGGCTAAATAAGTTCATATAAAAGGCTTGTGTGAACAGTAATATGTTTACTTAGCGTCAGCAAGAACTCAGGAGTGATACCAGGAAAGTCTGTTGTGCACTCAAAATAGCATTGCTAAAAACCAAAGATAAAAATGCAAGTTCTGACTAAGTTTATTGGCAAGCCAAGCCAGTGAGCATAATGGAGGCATCTCCTAGCTGTATCTTGCCTCTTCCGATATGCTTGCATTCAGAAGAATTATGAATTATCTGTACTATTTCTTTTAGCATTGATTTTATGTGTGTGTTTATTCTTCTTAACCCAGTAAGAACACACCCGTAGGCAGAAGTATTCTGAAGGCTTATTTTGGAAACTCGGTTCCCCCTGTGCCACTCCTCCTCTGGATCAACTTTCATTCTGGAGGCCATGTCTTCGTCTTTCCATCAGACCAGTCAATTTCTGAAACAAGTATTCTTGCTTGGATTGAAAAACTAAAGACCAAGCAAGAAGCACCGAGAGGTAAGTAATCAGAGATAATTAATCAAACCTGCTTTGGTCTTTGGTTCAGTTTGTTTTCACTGTTTCAGATTTTTAAAAAATTGAACATGTGAAGCACAATTATGATGCTTAATTATAAGGCTTTACAGGCTAAAAACTGCAACTGTCAGGCATTCTGAACCAAATGCAACATACAAATGATTTTGAAGGGCAGCTCCAAGCAAATAACATTGCAATATTCTAAAAACAAAGTGAGAGTGAAAGGTACAATGAATGAAGCCATGTCATCGATTCTTGCTTTGTTTTCAAGTGGAAAAAAAACCACTACAGGGCCTTTCAGTCACCCAGCCTCTCCTTTCTTTAAAAAGTGTAGATACATAACAGGCCAGTTGAGCACAATGCTTTAAAACAACTAAAATTGGAAACAAGTAGTGAACCACAAACTGCTGTTAGCAGAAACGCTTGCACAGGTGGGAAAAAATGATTTGTACAGATAACAGCAGGACGGGATTATGAAAGAAGACAAAGGTTAGCTAAAGATACAGAGAATGGTGTGAAGGATCCAATTAGAGGGAGAAACTGCCAAGAGAGGATGACATCACACTGTAAGAGGCTCTGAGCTTTGTAAAGAAAAAGAACACACTTCGGAGAAGGAGGAAGTCATATTATTTCTTGGTAGTGGATTGGACTCTTTGGTTCTCAATACACCCAGCCATGCTGGGAAGAAATTGAATCCGTGGATAATGAGAGCCAAACAAATACCTCCTCGGAAAATCTTCTCTGAGAATTTTCCCTTATTACTGCTTCTTTCCCCCTCCCTTCCTCATTCCCCCTTTTTTTGTCTTGTAATCAATTTCAAAGATGTTCTTATTTTCTTCATCCTCATCATAAGAATCTGTACATCCCAGAATGAACAGCTTCATTTTCATTTGAGGAATCTTCTATTTTTAAACGTGGAATGGAGTCAGAACACTTTAATGTCCTCAGGGGTCAGAAAATTGACTGCTTTAAAAAAAAAGTGAAAGAGCTTGAAATTGTACGCCTTTTTGCCAGAGGTCATGTGCAAGTTGGAAAGGTAAACCTTGCTTAACAGCCGCTTCATAAGATACCCTTGATTGCTTTTTTTCATTTAGGGAATTAAATCGTTCTTGCAAGTAATTTTACCCATGACCAGCTGAAGCTTCTAGGTGGTCTTTACATATTTCATCGTTTGGATATTATAATGGCTATTAAAGTGTTTAAAACACCTGTGCTAGTTACAAGGTGGCTGCTATGCAGTCTCAAAGCCTTTATATATGGCTTGCAGACTTCCTCAAAGCAACTGTTTTTGAAAGCTAAATTCTGATACAGAGAGGTACAGACTCTTCATATTGTTTAGATCAGGGGTCTCCAACCTTAGCAACTTTAAGACGTGTGGACTTCAACTCCCAGTTATAATAGGTTAATCTTAACAACCTAGATTCCCTCTAAAAATGTGAATTTCGGAAATGTTAGCTGCCTAGTGATTATGGGAATTGAAGTCCATATATCTGTGGTATGCCCAAGTTGGGGAAATCTGCATTAGGGAATCTGATACTTCGTTGATGAGTGCTTTTCCTCTTCTTAGCTACCTTGTCTGAGAAAGAGTGGAAGCCCCGCCTTCCTGCCTATGACTTCCTGAGTATGATGGAACCCACCCTGCCTGAATTTACTATTTATGCTCAAGAAAGTATAAGTATCCATCAGGAGGAGATCCTAAGAGAAACAAAGGCAGAAGCTGCAGTGACAAAGAAGCCCACAGAAGACTCCACCCTGGAGGAACTGAAGCCAAAGAAACCAACTGGAAGGGTCTTACGGACAGCTCCACATCTGGGAGCAAAGGAGAAGCAGGCTAAGCACCATTCAGAGTTATAAAGTAATGTCAGATCTCTGGATAGTTTTGGAAGTAGAGGATAGGATAATGCAGAGGTCTAGAGACAGCAGTTAACATTTCATTAATATTTATTGAAGACAGGTGTGTGATGGTGCAATGGTTAGAATGCAGTATTGCAGGCTAACTCTGCTGTCATCCTGACCGGCTCAAGGTGGACTCAGCCTTTCATCCTTCTGAGGTCAGTAAGTCAACCCTGATTGTTGGAGACAATATGCTGACTCTGTAAACCACTTAGAGTGCTGTAAAGCACTATGGAGGAGTATATAAGTGTTTTATATGTATGTATGTGTGTGTGTATGTATGTATGTATGTATGTATGTAACCCAGATGAAATCAAGGAGAGAAAGGAAATTCCTCGAAGCCTGGTTCTCCACCAATAAGTCAATAAACAGACATATTGACATTGATCCAGTCTACCAAACGCTGAGAATGAAAGAACTGCATCAACTGCAATCCTGAAGATAGCATTTAAAATGAACCAAAAGGCACCCCACTATGCAACAGCAAAAATCACAACCCATCAGCTCACAAGAAATCAGACCACATCTCAGTAACAGTAACCAGCCACTCAAACTGACCGAAACCAGACGTGACTTAGCAGTATCCGAACAAACCACTAATTTACATCACAGTACTTAAAACCAAAGACCATGCCTCAGTAACAATAGCCAGTCAATCAAACAATCCAAAGTCAGACCACGACTCTGAACAAACAACATCCACACAAATTTGCATCACATAAAAAGGTATTTAAAGTGGGGGGGGGGCTTTGACAGACTAGCACACTTCAAAGGTCATTGACATATTTCCTCCAGTGGTGACAAAATGTTTGCAGCCAAATTGCCAAGCTCAGAGCTCAGCCCTGAGCTACTTATATTCAAATACAGTATAAATCAGCTTAGCTTTGTTAGGGTATTTTCCCACATCATTGTAGTTGTGCTTTTAAAGTTGCAACAACGTTTCAGCAGAATCTCATCTGCCATCATCAGGCTTCTATATAGGAAGCCTGATGATGGCAGATGAGATCCTGATGAAACCTTGTTACAACTTTAAAAGCACAACTACAGTGATGTGGGAAAATACCCGAACAAAGCTGAATGCCATACATGTAAGTACCCGCGAAAACTTAAGAAAACACACACACACATATATATATATATTCTGTCTATATATATAGACAGGATAAAAATCAAATAAATAGACTCAGTATATTAAGCCAAAATTTGGTTGGCTAGTGTGTGATTTAGACTGTTGTTTAAACATAGGCACAGTCCCTACCCAGGTTTCAAGCAACATGTTTCCCAATGTGCCTTGGAATTATGTCAACCCCTCCATTCAACCCTGTCTGAATGCAAAGCATGTGGCATTCTGCTGAGTTACAGGAACTTGTATTTCTGGTATGGGTTAGTAAATTATAATGAAGGCCAATATTGCCAAGGATGCCTTGGGGAAAAGAACATAGTCCCTGCCAGTCAGAAAAGTTCCACACTGAGTACATTGTGGTTTTGCATGTCAAGGGCCTCTTATGATGTTTGTGTTGTTTGTCTTTTATATTATTGCCCTGCCTTATAAATGTGATTCATCTGGCAAAAATGAGGCCAATACAAATTCAGGCCAATACTGTTTTTGACAGTTTTAATGGAGCTGTGTCATCCAGCCTGGCTGAGGGCCTGGCACATAAAATATAAAATATGAGTACTTTTTATGTTTGGAAAGATGAATCTTAAAAGCGTTTACAAGCTCTTGGGGAACAATAGAAAATATATGGGTATGTTGTGCGTCTTCTTAACTGACTGACTGAGGTTTTAAACCTTACAATTTAAGAGCCCAGAACAATTGATCATAAACTTTTAAGTTCATTTCCCAACTTGATAGCTCCCCCATGTGCTGGATTTCAAATCCCCTAATTCCTAGCCAACCAAGTGAGAAAATAGCTTTTAATAGAGATCTGTGTATATTTTAATTCATGCTGTGAACTACCAGACTCAATAGTTTACATTCTAAAAATGAGTTATTCATAAGAGAAAAGTTTCGTATCCTTCATTTCCCTGCTTCCTAAGCAAACTCAGGGGGCAGATACTTCTGAATAACACAGGATGCGATGGAACTACAAGGGGAAGAAATGAAAAATATACCTTCAGTGAATGTGTTTGTGTGAATAGAAATATACAGCAGGGGATATAATGTGCTTTTGGGGGTGTCAGGCACTAATAATCAATAGAATACATTAAAAGAGATATTCAACCAGTTGACAGATTTTAAAACACTATTGAGAGTTGGATCTCAGTATTTAAATGGGAGACCACCCAAAAATGTCAATGCTAAAGACTAGCCTGGGAATTTAAAAAAATATCTTAAAAGAAGGAAATGGAAACCATTTTCATTGTATTGCCAGAAAAACTACATGGTTGCCATGAGATCATTAGAAGCTGAACCTGACTCACGGGATATGTTCAAAATTTGAACAGTATTGTTGAAATATGTTGTTTATATTAATGTGTAAGATTATAAATGTAATGTTTAAATTCTGTTTTCTTCTTTTTTGCAAATTACAGAATGGATGGATTACAAACCTGAAAAGGTTCCTCTAGACCAGGGGTGTCAAACTCAATTTCATTGAAAGCCGCATCAGGACTGTGGTTGACCTCGAGAGGCTGGATGGGTGTGACTAACTGGGTGGGCATAACCAGCTTGACACCACAGTATTGGCGTTGCCAAACTGGGTGGGCGTGGCCAGCTTGATGCCACTCTCCAAACTGCTGGCATGTTTCCTCTTCGCACTGGGTAGACCAGCCAAAGCCATGCTGGCCCAATGTTTCCTCTTCGCACTGGGCAGACCAAGCCGAAGCCATGCTGGCCCAATGTTTCCTCCTCGCACTGGGTAGACCAGGCCGAAGCCACGCTGGCCCAATGTTTCTTCTTTGCATTGAATAGACCAGGCCGAAGCCACATGGGCCAGCCCTTTATGTGGTGTTTGGAAAAGACTGAACTGAAGTCTTCACTCCGGTCCGTGTTTCCAGTGGGAACACGGACCATTCCTATTGGCTGATGCCGTTTGACAGCTAGCTATAAAAGGGAGCTGTCAAACGGCATCAGCTATTGTCCGCCAGCTGGCTGCCTTGTTAGTGCAGCAGCCGCGGCAACCCTTTATTGTTACAGTAAAGTAAAAGCTGAAGTTCGCTCCGCGTTTGCCTCAGGTTATTCCGCCACTCTACAACACCTTACATTTTCCAGGATGCCCCCGTGGGCTTGATCTGACCACGTCGCGGGCCGGATCCAGCCCACAGGCCTTGTGTTTGACACCCCTGCGCTAGACTAAGAGTCCCTGATACAGATCCTATGGATAGAATATGTCCACAGATATCCTCTTTTGGACCTTCCCATCTCTTTTTACCCCCTGTTTAAAATTAAAATTTTAAATTCAAGTGGTTTAATACATGTCCTGAAACAACCCACTAACTTTCCAGATCACATTTCCCCGAATGCCGTTGGACTCTTCATTGGCCTTGAGATATTTTCAATAAAAAGTGCGTGGCTGAAATGCAGGAATTAATTGGATAATATAGCAATAGCGTTAAGATTTAGCACTAAGACTTTACAGTGCTCTACAGCCTTCTCTAAGCAGTTTACAGAGTCAGCATATTTCCCCCCTCATTTTACTGAACTCAGAAGGATGAAAGGCTGAGTCAGCCTTGAGCGGGTAAGAATCGAACTGCTGGCAGTTGGCAGAGTTAGCCTGCAATACTGCATTCTAATCACTGTGCCACCATAGCTCTTATGCTTGCTTGTTCCTCCCAAAAGACAAAGTTGAGGTAGAGGATGATATTTCCCTGTCGGGAAAGAAGGTGGCACAGAGCAGTCTCATCAGTTTTGTCTTCCAACAGATGGATGTTGTATCACCATAAAGCTTTTATTGTAAAAGAAGCAGCTTAAGAGGCCCTCTGCTGGTGGTGAGGAAAGGACCTGCCAGTTCTTCAAGGGGTTACCAAAGTGACATTGACATCGTTGGATACTGATTCAGGAATTATTCTGAAAGGAGCCCCAGAACGATGGGTTGTGCAATGACTGGAACAGATGCCTGTGAAGGCTAGTGCTGCTACCACCTCACAATTCATCACACGAAGAAAGGATGTGAGTTGTGAGAGCTTCTTGGGACATCAGAGATTCGAGTTAGGTTAAAGGCATAGGAAGCACTTTACATAGCAATCTAGTTAAACATTAGAACTAGAAGATGAGTTTTTTCTTCAGCAGCTCCTGCTCTGTGGAACATCCTCCCTTCAGAGATTAGAATGGCCCCAACCCTGTTAGCCTGGGAAGCTATATGCACCAAAGGCCCAGCCTCCTGGCCTATATTGTTAACAGGTCAGATACCTTTTGTATGTACTTGCTTTGGTGCTTTGGTGTTTCTTTTTACTGTTTTAATGTTTTAAATTGTTTTTATTGTTTTAATTTAAATAATAATAATTGTAATACGTTTTGAATTGTGAGCGACCCAGAATTATTTGCTGAGATGGGTGGCTATAGAAATCAAGCATACAAACAAACTGCTATAAGATGTACTCTGGTCAAAAAGCTGATCAACCTTAGATGACACAAATGTGTGATGAAGCTATCAAAAATTCAGCTTGTAGTACAAGGAGGTCCTAGTCAGTAGATTAACACGAAAGAAAAGTATCTTGCAAGGAAAACATGTCTTGATTGATCCTGAGGTAAAATTGATCAAAACACTAAGGCGGGTAGATCAAACCATACAATGAGTTGTAAGCAGGGTGTAGTTAATGACCCCTTGGTGGGGTTTAATGTAAGTCGCAGACTTATTTAGAGAGAACAATCATGGTGTCAGGAATATGACATTTAGCAACTCTGGAAATAAGAGTAAGAAGAAACTCAAAGATCTGAAGTTTGGGGGATTAGCAAGAGATTTAATTGCTGGATTGCTGGATGGAAGCAGATATTCTTCCTGTGTATCTTGCATAGGATTCTTCCTATACAAGATAGCTATTAAACTGAAGAAGAACTTCAGGTATTGAGCCTTATTTATGCCAATGAGTAATAGGTAAAAAAAAAGCATTTTTAAAAATTTTTACTGCTGGTGCCAGAAAACAGTCATGTAGTAATTAGAAAATGTGTTTGACAAAAGCCTGGGGAATCTCCAAAATCTTATATATAGCTGGAGGTGGTAAGGAGAAGATCTCATGCCCATGCCATCT